CAATACAGTACATAATTAGCTAATCTGATTGTTATCTGGTCTTTTTTTTGGTATCATGCCTCACGATCATCAAGATCATTGGCTAATTAACTACTTCCTCCGATCCTTAATAGTATAAAGTATTTTGATTTGTCATATGTTTCACTTAACATTTTTAATTGAAAAATAATCTTAAAAGTACATTTTTGCATTCATTATATTTCATTAATTATTTGTAAACTATTTTTAAGGTATTTTTTCAATTAAAAATGCATATTAGTACTAAAATTTAGGACAAGTCAAAATATTTTTTATTAAGGACGGGAGGGAAATAATTTGAAAAGAGAGAAAGGCAACAATGACCATCAAAAGGATGTAACGCTGAGGTTTGATAGCCACAAGAATACTTTTATATTTAACTTGAAAAGAAAAAATAATTTGTCAGTTATGTTTCTGCATTTCATTGTATTTTTAATCTCTCGGATGTCTTGTACACGATAAACTTTAAGAGAAGAAATGTAAAGGGTTGTCACTAACAAGAACTTTTACATGCTATAGATGAATAAGTTTTTCAATGTTCTAGCTAGCGCATACGAGAAATTATTGCTAGTGGACTATAAAACAAAAAAAAAAGTGAAATAAATAGATAATAGAAACCCTAATTATTAAAAGCAAATCTATAAAAGGCATTATTTTTTAAGCAAAAAAAAAAAAAAATTTAAAATTTTGAGGTTCGTATTTTAAAAAATTTCCAGCAAAAGTTGCTAGAAAACATTTGCGTCTACTTTGGCATCGACTTATCTATCTCGACGATACAGTCGATGAAACAAAATCTCCTGAAAATATTGGCGTCTACTTTTTTTTCTTGACTTTGTTAACTTAATAATAAAGTCGACGGCAGCAAAATTTCTTTGAAAGCATTTGCGTCAACTTATTAGTTAACGACAAAGTTGACAAACAAAATTCTCTTAAAAACAATCACTTCAACCAATTTGTCTACATTTCTAACCCGATAATAAAATTAACCAAAACAAAATTCTTCTAAAAATGTTCCCGTCTACTTTTTTTGTTGGTTGTTTTAAATTAATAATAAAGTGGACGAAAGCAAAATTTCTTAGATAACATTTGCGTTGACTGTTTCATCGACTTTCCAAACAGGATAATGAAATCTACGAGAGCAAAAAAAAAATATTTAACATTATTCTTAATTGTTATGTCATTTATATTAAACCAACTGAGCCGAACAATTCAAAATTGTCTCGTAAATATTTTGTCGATTCTTATAACCCAAGGATAAAGTTGACAAAAGCAAAAATTTATTCTAAGCGTTTGCATTGACTTCAACAGCCATATGCAAAACGGTCATGTAATCATTCCTCTGGCCAACTACAGTACCAACAGGATGAAAATTATATAGTCAGGCTTCCACGTGACTTTATTGTTTAATGAGGAAATCTGATGCAAATTCAATAATAAACTCGTGTTTACTTTAATAGAATGGAAAATTTTATAGTAATTTCGCATGTGGCTGGTTTATCTGCTTATAAATACGATAAATTATTTTTTTAATTTAAATTTTCTGTACAAATTGAACTAAAAGTAAACTTAAATTGAATAATAATTTTGGGTTTAGCATAGAAGCTTGGTACCGACACACAAGGCAACACCATGCTCCCGGCAAAATTCGAGGGATGCCGATTCAGGGGACAGTCCCCGTCCTGGTGGCTGCAATAATTGGCCGGCTCAGAATGGCGGAGTAGCCACTAGATCGTCTCCCCAATTTTAAAAAGTAATAGTATCAATTTTGTGGATGGGATTATTTGGAAATACACATCCTACCAAATGAACTCAACAGTATTGCATCTCATCTCATTTAGAATTCAATCATTGATCAAAATTTAATGATTCAATCAATCACATTGGCAAATGACCACAATTCCATGCGATATGAGATTCAGATGTGAAGTGAAATCAGTGAGAGAATAAATGTAACTAATTATTTCATCCCCTTTTTCTTCTTAGTTATCTCCCCCATTTTATTTCCTGCATATATATATATATATATATATATTATTATTAGGATAACATTAGTGATCATATCAGTTGTCGATAGGCACGGTTTGCTGCACTTTTTAGCTGCAAAATTTAATGCCAAATTCCTCTAATTTTGTTAATATGACAAACAACGAAGCTTTCCAGCTCCTTCACCCGATCCTTGATAAAATTGTTCGCTGAATCCCAACTTTGACCTAGCGATAAAGCTACGGCGACTTACTTGCAGATCACAATTATAACTGCTTCACAGTATGGATTTCCCTCCGTCCCAAAGTGTGAAATGTTTATTATTGCATAATAAAACGACATGATAATCATGAGGACTAAATATATATATAAAACTTTTGTATCTTACACAATTGTTGCTTGGGTAAAGTTTGCATAAATCACATTTTTTCTCTTGAAAAAGCATACTAAGATTGCATATTTTGGGTATTTTTATTTTTCTGTTTTATAAACGTTATATCTTGATGATTAAAGTTATTGCCTCTGTGTCAAAAAAAAAATAAAAATGATTGCCTCATAAATATTCATTCCAAACGGCTAGAATTTATTCACAACCGGAGTACTAGTACTTGGCTACGAAAGCATAGAGGTTTATATTTTGTGCGTCATATTTTTATTATGTAAAACAGTTTTATTAATATGTATACCAAGAAGGAATAGAGCTTAGGTAACAAGCCAATCTATCGAGAAGAGGTTGGACAATCAAAAAATAATTTGTCTACCGTTATCTTCAGGGGCATTGACAAAACATGTAACTCCAAAAGAATCGAGAATCCTTATTTAACAAAAGAGTCTACTACCTTATTTCCGTTAGATTTAATACGACAAAATTCTACCTGCCAAGACATTTCCTTATATGTTTTTTATATATATACCAAAAAAGACGGAAAGAGTTGAACTTGACGAGTCTAATTCTAGTTTTTGTAGAATTGCTGCGGGTGGTGTTGACAAAATGTGCAAGCCGACGGGTGGTGTCTAATTCTACCTGCCAAGACCTTTCAAGTAGATTCCTAATTCTAATTAGCAGGACCATTTCCCAAAAAACAAAAAAATTATAAGAAGGACGTTACTTGATAATTCTATATTCGAGTAGCATAAATGCAGCAAGTGCCACTTCTAGCCTGCATGGTCATTCAAAGATTAAGCCCACCAAGAGTTAGCCCACTTCTTGTCAGGATTGGGTTGATTTAGGGTTTTGGCAAATGATAAACAATTTCAGATTTGCATGGATACATGTGCTGCTTCCAGAAGCATCTGATCGTTATTTAATTTACTACTTTTTGGCAATAAAACTGTATATTTACGGTAGTGATAGTCCGGTGATATAATTATAGTGCTGATGCTTTACAGACGACAGAAGGTGCAAGCTGCGTGATTTTTGTTCTTATCAGTCACCAAACTTCACTGAGTATATGAATTTTCAGACAGAAAGAGACACGCACCAGCCTGAAATTACTAGATTAGTACTATATAAATTAGCTTCCATCGTGCAATGACCTCACCCGCGCAACCTTGCATCCTCAAGTCCTCAAGCCCACTCGCGTTTTGCCTTGAGAAAATGAGGGAGACGAAGCTGGTGGCGTACATTTGTTTCGGGTCTTTTACCAAAGTCCGCCAAACTTTTTTGCTGGACCCACCCTTAATGCGTCTTTCTCAGAGTTTCTTCCCGCCTTTTTTCCTGCCAAAACAAAAATAAAAAGTGAAACACTATCTCCCTTTTCATCAAAAAAAAAAAAAAAAAGAAAAAGCGAAACACTACAAACCAATTTCAATTTCATTCCAGAATATTCATAAGGTACTATACTAGTACTACATTATGAGACAGATTAGTCTTACAATGGAAATTACAGGCACCAGAAGTTCGAGAGGGCAAGTAGCAGGCTTTCCAGTGATTAAGTCGATGGTGCCACTGGGTTTTTGTTGTCAAAGCTTCTTGACCCTTTGAAAATCAAATTAAAGAGACTAAAATGTTTTTTATGTCTACGTTCTTCCCATGATTGTCTTAGTACCGTGTTGACATTGAAACCACACAGATGGTCAAGCTGCTAAAATTATGTGAAGGGGTTTATTAATCCGCCTGAACTACACTGCCGAAATTGGCATGAAGACCATGATCAAAGACGAAAAATCTGAACTGCCAATGTGGAATTTCTATTTACTATAGCTGAAGAGATTTTATTTAATAATAATGGGAATCTGCTCTAACAGGGTCTTAGTTTGATGCTCATTTCGGAATTGTACTAAGCATTTGTTATGTAAACCATTCAAACACATTAGAAGAAGATACACCATTCCTGACTCGAATAAGAATTGCTCTTTTGCCACGTCTATCTGCCAGAAATTTTAGGGGGAAAGTTTCGGAGAAAGAAAAAAAAACACGATGCTTCAGGCGTACACTTGCAGAGCCAACTAAGCTCAAAATCAGTAGAAGCCCAACTTTTTATGTGAGAGTGGGTTCATTAAGTTGGAAATTTCATCTCTACCTTACCCTTCTCAAGAGTAAAGTGCCCAATTTGTATTTTAAGTTTGTGAAAAAAAGAACATTTTTATCCTTTACAAAATCACTATCACCACTTTAGTTCTGATCTTTTCTGTCCTTTAGTCAAAATTGAAATTTAATAACCACAGTGGTCGTAGTAGAGTGGAAGGTACTCCTCCATCCTTAACCATAGGTCGAAGGTTCGAAGCTCACCATGGACATAGAACAACTTTTAATAATTTGGTTAGCTATCTTATCCATTGAAGTGCCTACAATTCAGAAGGGAATTTGTTGAGTTTTCAAAATCACACCTTTGCTGTTTCTCGTGATGTTTCTCACTTGCGTCTTCAGTTTGCCAAATTCAAAAAGGATTCAGGAGTAGGAATATAACCAAGAAACCAAATTTCAAACATCATTAAGTCCACCCACTCAGCAAATAAAAGAACAAAACCTCATTACTCAATGAAGCAATCCCTGTCCCCCCGCATCTAAAATGATGTTTCGAACCCATTCACCAATTTGTAATCAAAGGGAAAAAAATATATAAATAAACAAATTGGCCAAAATCTTAAAATATTTCAAACGAGACACGGCATTAAAAATTCCCTAAACACACAAATCGGAAGTACACATACATATAGGTCTTAGATAGCTAAAATAAACTAGAAGCAGTATATCCACCCACAGAGACTTAAGTAGTCAACTGAATATACAAATCCCTCGTCCACAAGAGGCATAACTTAAAACACACACAAAAGAAACAAGTCATCGCACCAGTCTTCAGTTTTATCATCAGAGGGCTCTACCCATTCTCCTAACAAATCGAATGGTTGGCGTAAAATATTCTGGAGCTCGGGCTCTTCCACTCTCTTCCAATTTTCCTGAAGCCCTCCTTCTGAAATTCTTCAATGTCATCATTAGAGAGCACCGCTTCAACCCCAGCACTTCCAACATGAAAAACTAAGTACAGGGAAGAAGAACATACACGATCAGGGGGTGCAAAAAATAGAATATATATCCTGTACTGTATATAAATACATATAAAAAAGTAACCATTCATCCCATTCTAATAGTCCACTAGAATGAACTACGATAGTAAAACAAAGTGAAATAATAAAACTGGACAGAGAGGGTATTAAGCATAGTAAACCAGAGTGCACCAATCTTCAAACATAAATTAACGTGCGAGTATAAAAGCGGCCAGGACATCAGAAACTTACCACTGACACATTCACTCTGTTCAGGGCAATAATACACACCGCTACAAAGTGCACGTTTGGCAAAATCCACAGCTGCAGCCGGGGAAATACTGAGTTGACCAGCCCTTTAGAAAAACCAGAAACACGTTTTTGAGATACTGCTTGGCCAAATAAAATAAATACCTGATCTGAATAAGCAACTCAAGATAAATCAAAGGAATTCAGACAAAGTCTGCAATGCGTCAAGAAGGCCGAGTGTCAATTCCTAAGGCTAAAAATATTAAGCAAGGCAGGCAACAACAATGTTCACATTGCAACTTGAAGCAATCATAGAGGGAAAAGAAGAATACCTCTCAGTAATTACCACTCTACCCAGAGAGCCAGATCCAGTTCCAAGTAAGGATTTTTGCTCCACATTCCCCTTACCGTCCACTTTATACAAGGAAGGCCCCTACAGAGATGCAAACCAAGATCAATTCAATAAGGGGCATGGGCAAAACAAAGAAGAGGAGAACATTACAAGATTTACCAATTGGGCATCCCATCCAGCAATTAGTACTCCTAGTGACAAGCCCAGGTCACTGTCAGGATGAAGCGACAGAAAGTCAGCCAACCACTCCGATGCTTCAGCCGCGGAAGCTTTTCTCCCCTCCTCGAGTTCAAATTCGTGACACTGAAAGAAATGCAGCATCCACACGAATTACAACAGCCGAACCTACCCTAAATCGAAGTAAGGCCTATAACAAAGTAAATCAAATATTTGAAATAGTTGCAAATACCTTGTTCGGCAGATCATTGAGCAAAAAGTTCCGTGATTCATCGCTGCCACCAGAAATAGCAGCAAGCAAGTACGAATTGAGTTTCAAAACGTTTTCGGGAAATACATCAGATGACAATCTTAAATGATCAACAGCTATCACAACGCCCAATTCGCTATATACATGGCCAATTGCTGTGCTTCCCTTCTCAAAGGTGCGCTGTAAACACCACCACAGAAGGGGGGAAAAGGGGGGTTAACACATAAATCAAACCAGATAGAAAAGATCATCCACAAGAGAATAATAATAATAATCCTATAAAAAATTCAAAGAATTGAGGATATAAGAGCGCTGTAAGTACAATTTTTATAATAAAAAAAGGAAAACCCAGGAAGAAAAATTAAAAGGAAAACGCTAACCAATTCGGGTTCGTATGTTCTTGCAGGACGGGCAGTGGTCCGCGAACGGGTATTCCGAGAAGCCATGGTCCCCAACTTCAACACGAGCAAAACTAAATAAATACTATTGACACAGAATCGAGCCTCAAGCTTTTAAGGACTCCACAAAGATTTATACTCCGTGTAATGGAAATTCAACATGCAAAATGAAAGAGCAAAGCGAGACATAGTCGGGAGAATAAAAGAGAAATTCAAAAGTGACGCCGATTTTACCGTTTCGTCGGCTTTAGGTTCAGATCCACCGGAAGTTATATCGATTCTTCTTCTTTCCTTCAATCCAAGCAAAACAAAAAATAAAAAGAAAAATCAGAGGAAAATAAACAAATAGCTGATTTAATTGAGCTCTGTGGATCCTTGCCGAAATTGTTCCGAATAGTATACCACAGGTTATAAACTACTAATAAAATTAGATCCAGAAACTTTGGGGAAAAAAAAAATCGATCCAGAAAACAAAACCCGAATTCGATGAAGGAAAGAGGGAAATGGATGATTTTACCTTCTACCGCGACTTTCGAGAAGTTTGCCACCCGCTCAAAGACTGCTTCTCTCTGTTTCAAAGACTGCTTCTCTTCTTTATTATGTTCGGGAGTCCGTGACCGTTTGGATAAATGAACCGGGTTCCTTTGGGACTTGTAAAGATCTGAATACGGGTAGAAGGCCCGTTTGATAAAATTTAGTTTGGGCTGATGGACATTTCAACAGTAGTCAAAGCCCTCAATGAAGACGCACCCCCCCTCCCAACCCAGCACCGTTTTGCGAAGGATATTTTTCCTCCTCAACCAAAATCGGATTGTGGAAATCGAACACATAGGCCGCAATTGGAACAAAGTTACGGACTCATTTGGTAAAATGGACTACTCAGCTCCACCGAAGTTACATATTTTGACAATATAAATTACGTTTTGACAACCCGACTCATTTTCGAAGGGTTGTTGTAAACTAAGCTTTATGCTTTCTCGGTATATAAAAAAAAAACAAACAAACAAACAATATTTTTTGTTTAATAAAAATCAGAATATGCGAGTCATTTTAGCCCAAAATGTGCCTTTCAACGCCCGGCTTGCATATTTCGTCAACGCAGAAATTATTGAGTGCAGTTATTGTACCACGTAAGATTGTGCAGTCAGACACAATATAGAAGGTAAACTAGTAATTTTGGGGAGAAAGAGATCATTTTTACGGGAGTTATAGCACCAAAATAGGAGGTGCTAATACTTGTTCTACTAAAAACCAAGATACAACAGCTGTATCTAATAATTTTTCTCGTCCACACCCTCGCTCAAAATACTAGATAGGCTAGATTTTGAGAAAACAGCACACTCTCATGGTATCTACATGTATCTAGACGTTAATCTTCCTCGATATAAAAATAAAAATAAAAATAAAAATCTGAACACTGAACATAAGTACTAAATTGATTAAGGTTTTTCTTGTTTAAGAAAAATCAAAATCTGAAGAGTGAATAAAATATTTTTTTTTGAAAACATTGAAATTTAAATTAAGTATCTCGACTTATAATTTTATTTTAAAAAATGATTGATGTATATGAAACTATGATTAAAAAAATAGCAGTATTAATATGAAATTATGTAATAAAAATATTTAAATTCTATTATGTCATTTTTTTTCATTTAATAGTAGTGTCATATCTTTATCATTATCCAAAAAAAGAATATCATATCTTTATGGTAAATGTACACATGAACTTTATTCGTACTTTAAATTTTTATATTAAGATAAAAATATATTAAATAAAAAAATATTTATACAATTTTTAATTTTTAACTAAACACGAAGAGTAATAAAATATTTCAAGATGAAACATTAAAATTATAAACATAAAAGTCACAGGAAAAAAATCGTCTTAAGAATTCAGCTCAGACACAAGTGATATACTTATCACTTATTTTTTGACTCGTATTTGTACTATCATTTCAAACTCACTTAATTTATTAAGATATCATACTTTGAGTTATCAAACACACTCAAACTTTAAGTTCTTAATTATGCAGTTAATTTCTTAATCAATTAAGTTGTTATGAAATTATATTATCAAACAGTATCAATCAATTAAGTTTAAGTATTGCATGATTTATCAAACATGGCGGAACTCAAGTTACAAATGGGGGTCAATTTGGTATTTTTGCAAACTTGTGACTTAATTAAAAAGTGGCAGCATTTTTATTTTTTATTTTTTATACAATTTTTACAAGCACCTACGCTATTACATGTGTGAGTCTGGGGGAGGGGGACCTACTACTAGCCTAGGCTAGTGGGGGACGGTTCCACGCCTGCAACGCCTCTTTTCGCGCGTTCATCAAGTGCTTGAAGAGTTTCCAACTGCAACCTGCAATAAAAGGTAGCATTTTGCTGCCACAGAGTTTCGAACACGGGATCCCCGGGTTGGATATCTAGCGCTTTACCACTTGGGCCACCTTTTTGGCAAAAGCGGCAACATAGTAAACACTTGTTTGACAAATTTAGGGATTCAATGACTGGTTAATAAACACTGTAAAGGAATCTACTATTTTTGGTGCGTCCATTTTCGGCTAAAAAGCCATTTAATACTGTATTCCATAGAGCCATTGAAAATTAATGTATCATTCTTTCCAGCTTCATTCAATTAATCATTTATTCCACAAGCCTATGTTGATTTTCTTCTTTGTTTCTCCTCTTTGCTTCCCTCCGACCTCTAAGTTCTAATTTTGCGCCGCTACTACTCATTCCGGTGACCCCCTTCTTTACAATTAAATTTTCTTTTTGCCCATATCTAACACGTAGGTATGAGAACCGAACAATCCTCGACTTTGAGAAAACTGTCGTAAAGGACTAAGACCAAAACACAGGGGAGGGAGGTTTGTCCTTTTGAAAAAACTCAAGGGCATAAAGTCTTTGGGACATAACTCGAGGGGAAAATTGTCCTTATCCTATGTTTATGACTATGGTAGGTGATTTTTCTCCATTTCAAAACCACTGCCAAAAAGATAATTACAAATGTAATTGTTCAACTAGAATAAATTAGAAATGCATATCATTATCATCGTCATGACATCACAGTTAATTTAGATGCAAGAAAAAGGTATGAATGCTACTGTCTGTTTTGAATCAAACAGAATCAACGTGTATTTGTTGTGTTGGCGATGAATATATTTACAATAAAAGACGTTGTTTTAATACATGTTTATTATTACTCAATCTTGTCCAACAACAAAAAAGTTACAACTTGGAGTTAATAATAATTGGAATCACAATAATTTGTTTCTGTAGTAGGCTAATTTGGTCAGCTTTCTCCATGCACAAAAGCCCCTTGGCATTTTGGGAAGCTTTTGTTTGATGTCATTAATGTCCTCCTCTTTCTTCTAGTTCTTCATTTCCACAAATTAAACTACAACAAGGTTTCTTGTTTGTTTCTTTTTTTTTTTTTTTTGTTTCGTTCATTCTGAATTTATGCATGCCTTTCCTCTCTTTTCATGATTTTTTTATTTTGGTTATAATAGTTTCCCAGATGTACTTTTTGCCACAAAGAAAAAAAAAAGTTTTTGCCAAATTTTTTTTTCTTCTAAATTTTGCCTATGGTGGAATTTAAGTTAGGCAAAGTGGCAAACTAATTAGAAAATGATGTTAGGAAAAATGAAATTAGAAAATGATGTTGTTGTGAATTCAACCATGTAAAAAATATAATATAGAGGAGTATAGGGGAAAAAAAGAGAAAAAAAAATTGAATGATTAAAATTCAAAATCTGGAAAGTTACCTAAGGGGCTTTTTAGGTGTATAAAAGTTTGTAAGCATAAATGAGAAAACCCACACTCCCCTACGCGTGCGTCATTTACACTCTCCGTCACTTTTAATATTTTCCATCCATTTTTCACGTTTCAGAAAAGCACAAGGGGGTTCTTATGTACTTTTGAAACCATAGGGGGGGTTCTTTTGCTGTTTCCCAAATCATGAGGGGGTTCTTGTTTATTACCCCAAAATAAAACAACATAGAGCAAAAGTGTCTTGACTGGGGCTTTACTTGGGAAAATATGATTTATATTACAGCCCAATACGATAACGAGTTTAGCGTTAATAACTGTCACGTTATGAGTTTTCAAAACAAAGCAGATTCTTTCACAAAAATTGAAAAAAGGTAATGTTGATCAGATGATCAAAGACAAATTGCAGAGTTCAGATAGTTTAAGATATAAAAAGATGAGTAAAGGAAGAAACCGGAGGGAAAAAAAAGGAGCAAGTAGGGTTTAATGAAGAAGAGTAGAAGGATAATATCAATCATGACCATTTTCTTCTTACAATTTAGCTTAAATAACCTTCTAGATGGATTCTTTACTAGAAAAAAGGAAAATGCAAGATATAATTTAGCAGCTGGAATCAAAGGAAATTGCTTCTAAGTTGCTCCTTTTTTGTCGGCTTGCATGATCAGATGATCACATGCTTGTCCTGCAAGTTGACTGGAACGATGTCGCCTCACTCGCTCCTTCAATGCCGAAATCCCAAATTAAATTTTTCGCTACCGCCGGATGATCTGCCAAACCAAAATGGATACCCGAAAGGCATGACAATAACTGATCCGATCTTTGGGCCAAAAATATGAGTGCGACTGTCAGGTACCGAAAGGAATTGGGAATAAAAGAAAGATTCGGGCTCGCCGGAATGAGGAAAACGGCTTGTCGGAATTAGAGTTCATAGTCAAAGAAGAAGCAAGGGGAAAAATAAGAAGGAATTAACAGAGAGTTAGAGAAATGGTGATTAACAAAAGCAAGAAGGAATTCTCATTGACATTCATAATTCTTCTATTAAGAGTTACTAGATGGATTTTACGCGCTCTGCACGTACGGTATATACATAATAATATTCTACAAATTTTATAAAAGAAATTTGTTCATAATAGACAAATTTTGACTCGCGACTACATTACAAAATCTATATTATATAAATGTGGCACTTTTGATTTTAACGACATAGTATTCCAAATGTGAGTAGAAAAAAAAGGATATATAAACTAAGTAATAAAATACAATCTAATTTATGCTTCACCCGGAAAAAGAAATAACCTAAAAAGGAAAAACTGAATCAAGATAAAAACTAAATAATGGAAGGAAAAAAAAAAAGATGAAGATGAACAATGAAAAATAACTACCTTTAAGAGACTTGTAATGCAGAAGTCACAAAACATAAAAAGCAAAGACTCTAAGAAAGAAAAAGAAAGATACGAAGAAAAAATTTAGAATACAAGGAAGAAACATACTAAGGAATTCAATAAGATTAGAATCAGCAAAACTGTTTTTTGGCCTATCAAATTCACTTATTGATGAGAAATGAAAACATAATTTAATGGGAGGGAGATTGAAAGGTGAAAAGTCTACAAAATATAATGCAAAGAAATATGAAATTTAAGTTAAAATCATTACAACTACTTTTATGATATATCAAATTCTAACAATAATAATAAGTAGTAAATTATCATAAGTTCTGTATGTTTCATTCTTTTCTAATATTTAATTTTCCACTAAACATTAAATTTCATACAAATATAATGAAAAATCAAAATAAATGTAAGAGGAAGGACTACCAAAACCAAGATTACATTCCCCAATTATAATATATGTTGACAAGGCTTTTGTAGCCATTTTACCAGAATAATAGTAAAAATACAGGTGAAAAACTAATTCTGGAATTAATTGAGTAAACTAATCTTCTAACCCAAAACTTTGCTAAAATATCAAAACACCATAGATCGTGAGAACGACCCAAATAACAAGCAAGATATATTGCCCAGCCCCGCATGATTCGCACGAAAACAAGCCTTTTTTACTATTTGCCGCCTTTCTTTAAGCAAAACTTTCTTCTGCTGGAAAATATTGGCGGACTCAAAGAGTGAAAAAACTTAGCAGTACAAATTCGATATCATCAAATCAGAAAAACGATCGAACAACGAAAAGCCATAAAAATACCAGCGGGTTTGATTTTGATGGAAACCCTTCTGCTCATTGTGATCATTCTACTGTTGTGTCGCCGTCGTTAAAAAAATCGAATCAAAGTCACTTGCAATTCGTCATCGTGAAATCGTCATGGATGTCAACCATCAACAACAACGATCTCCACTTAGTCGGTAAATAAATCACCCCAACTCTCTAATGTCTTTCAATCCCTGCCCTAATTGAATTCTGTTTTTTTGGCTTCGTTTTAGTATCTAATTAAGCACCTTTTTACTGTGGTTCTTTGGTATTTTTTTAGGTAGAATTGCCGTTTTCCTTTACTTAGATTATACTATTATCTCAAATGTTCATTGTTATGTTAGTTGCACTTTGCAATTTTGCGAAACTCGTGAATCTTGAACTGAGTGTCGATAGAATTTTCCGAGTGCTTACTGATCGTCTGTGCTGACCCTAATAGAAAAGCCCTTTGATTAATTCTTTCTGAGATACTAAGTACTACCTCTGTACCAGAAAAATAGTCCACGTTGAGTTTTGAGATTTGTACTAAAACAAGCAAAAATCTAGAAACTCAATGTGGACTATTTTTTTGGGACGAAGGGAGTATATTTTTGTACTTTGTAGTCATGTACAGGCATTCAATCCATATATGGGTTTGCGTATCAGTTCAAAATTTTCATATTACTTTGCACACATCAGTCTGGCATTAGCAGTGCTTTTTAAGTGTATACACAGAATGCTCACATATATGTGAAATGTGTTTCTTGGTGACTTAGAATTAGGATCGCTTTTCGCAGGCTATTGCTCTGTGGATACTTGCATTTAGGTGCTACTTTTGACTTAAAACTTAGTTAGGATTCTTCTGCAAAAATACTCTTTCATGTTTCTTTTGGTGGTTAGTTTAGTTGTTTTGTATGATTCTATGCTGACGGTTCAATTACTTATAATGCCAATTGCTGCGCGATTTCAATATTTTTCCAGCTGTTCGATTCACATGTGCAATTTAGAGATTCCTTTAACTTTGTTGAGAATCAAATTCTGTACATTTCCCATGTCTAATCAAGTTTTCTGTCATCTTCACACAGTGTTGCAGAAGAGAAGCGCCAAAATTGCCATTCGTGCACTTTTGGCTGTAGAAAATGAAGCCAAACAAATCCTGAATGCTGCCAGTTCCGGTATGCACCTCCGCTGATATCTTATTCTTGTTTTGTAGAATTGTTTGCTAGCATAGCTCTTAGTTTGGTTTTAGTGAAACATTAGCTGCCAGTGAATTCGAACGGATGGCATGTGGTGTCCGAAGGTAATGAATGGTCTATTTGTTAGAGGAACTGTATTGCCTATCAGTATTTCTTGCAGAAGTTGCAATATGACTCGTGTGCGTAATTTGCAAGCATCATGTAAATTACAATCTAACCATAACATGAATCCGATAGTTATTAGTTCATTTGGTTTTCTGAATTATCAATGGTAGGTTTGTGAACTAACTATTGTTCCTGCACTACAATTTACTATTGGTTAGATTCAACTGTTACATGGCATTAAACTTTTATCTCCTGGCTTTTAGTAAAAGCAGCTAAACTCCTACAAGCCAAGCAGGAGGCTGAAATCGAGGTAGCTGGATTTCAGGCTGAAATAGAGCTTGAGTTTCTGAAGATTATTACAACGGTAAATATTTCGTATGCGATGTCTTAATGAGAAGATTTTTTTGGGATAGGGAGGGTCTTGTTTTACCGTTGAGGTTGGCTTTACAGTACATCTGATTTGGCTTCCAGGAAGTCCTGAGACTATCATGATGAGCGCCAAATGCGCGAACTAATCCATGATTTACAAGAAGATAGCACAAAATTTTAATAGCATTGTGATTAATTTTTTATTTCTGCTTGAAATTTGCTTCATTGCTCTATGATAAAATCTTAAATTTTGGGGAAAGCTGGGTAAATTCAGTTTGTTAAACTCTGTAGTGTGAGAATGACTGTGTGAAAGGATTTGGAACTTGATACAACCTTGGCTGGTTTGCGCTCTCTTACTTATTTAGTTTTCTTATTATTATTACCTTATGCTTGTTAATTTAGAGTTCCGAAGATTCAGCGGCCTACTTGAAATGCCTGGAACAAGATGCTGAGACAAAGATCAATAACCTGAAATTGGTGGCTGCGAAAGTGCATGATGATGTTGCTTCAAGGCTTCTTCAATGTGTAGTGACCATCAGAGTTTGAGCTTCTAATCTGATTTTAATACTGATACATTATACATTATGGCTTTACAATGATACTTTCGAATTTCAATAGACTACTTTTCTGACAGAATTTGAGCCCTTGCCTAGGTTCTGTTATATCCGCGATACACAAGTTTGTTTGCACCCTACTACACTTTGTTGTGACTTGTGAGACTTGCCAGGTTTTGACTGTTTCTATGTATGAAACCTTCTAACCGGTGACAAATGAGTAATTGAAGAGGAAAAATTTCATCCTAGAATAACAAAGTCTACTAATTAACTTAGCAGCAAATAGTGCAACAGTGTTAAGATTAAGGAAACGACATCTATGGGATGTAGACTTTCAGTCTTTTCTTGAATCCTTAAAATTCTATATTAGTTGTGCTGGTTGGCTAATCAGGCGATAAAAGGTACAGAAGACCGGGGCAGAAAGTTAACTACCAGATTTTATGCGCTATAAACGCAAATATTTGTGGGGTGTGCTTTTGTGCCCAAAACAGCTGAGTGAATTCATAACTTCAAGTAATGTTGTTAGGCTAAGATCCCACAATCTATTTGTAAAGTAATCGAATCGTATCACAATGTGTTAGGGTTGTCTTAAGTGTGAATGCCTGGCTTATGTTTGGCAATCAGAATGCAATTATTGTGTAACAAACTTTGTAGAGAGGATGACGCAGCACGAACATGGGTGTTTAAACACAGATCGTTGGTTAAGAAACCTCAAGTAGGCAGCAGGGAAAATGATGAGGACAATGAATGGTAGAAGAACCCTATCAGTAGGTTCTTCCATATTTATGCCCAGGATCATCATGATCCGAAGAGGAAACCAAAGTGTTAGAACTTTGGTTAGATTAATATTCATAAGTGGTTTTAATAAGCAGGAATAAGTTTAATATTCAGTATTTTATAATAAGGGTACTTCAGTAATTTTGCTATGTCGCAGGATTCTTCTGGAGTACTGGTTCCCTATTTTTGGTATTTAGTTTGATTTCCTTATAGATTAAGTTTTAGGTCGTCAAAAGAAATTTAGTTTTAGGAAGCTAAGATTTAATTACCTATTTGCTGTTGGTTTAGGCCTATATATATGTACCTTTTTTGAGGGTTTTAGACAGTTATGAGATTAATAAAAATTCCTGCAAGCTTTCGCTTTCAACAACAGTTGTGTGACTCAACTAAACCCTTGGTGTGACGCCTAGGAATCCTGCGGTGTGACGCCAAAGGGCCCTAAGAGTGATTCTTAGGTTTTCTTCTTCTTTTCCTACCCTTATGTCTGTTTTCCTGTGATTTCTACCCTTGTTTCCTACAGATTCTTTTAGTTTTCTGCTGCGTACTACTCTTTTAATTAGCCTACATCCTAATTTTCTTAACCACCACGTTTTTGTTATGCGTCAGAAAACTTAGGAAAATCTCAGAAAAGATAGCTTAAAGAAGTAGTATAGCAGCGGAAAATTAAAGGGTAACCAACTAAGAATCACTCTTAGTCACCTTTGGCCTCAGACCTCAGGATTTAAAGCTGAATCACTCAACTTTTGCAAAGCAAAGCTTATTGCAAGAATTTTATTAATCAACGTCTAAAAATCCCTGAAGGGATACAACCTTATTTATAGGCATAAAAAGACTTGAACCAAAACCTATTAGGAGTCTGATTTGGGAATTCTAGAATTTTCTCCCTTAATACCTAATAACACTTAGAAACTAAATAGGAAACAAATACTTAAACTAATTCCCCGAAATCAGAAAATCCTGCAACAATGCAAAAGTACTGAAATACCCTTATACTAAAATACTGAAAATTAAATATAAAAACAACTTAAAATACTTCCAGCAGCTTATTCAAGCTCCAAGGAAGGCTCATGCTCATCAAGATGATTCCATATAAGAGTTTGAGCTTTGGAACCTCTCCTAGTATAAAATTTAGTACTCTTCGACCATTTGTCCCCATCAGAGGGCAAACTCTTTAATATCACCAATCTTCATAAGATTTCTTGTTCCTTTGTCCGCTTCCTTAGTTCACTCGCTTTATGGTGTGCTCTTTTCTTTAATTATAGTTTTTAATTAAGGGAGAAAAATGCTTCTTTTTTCTGGCATTTCAATTATACTCTCTTTTCCATTGTTTGGAGGATCAAATAGCTTTCTTCTGTTTTCCTTTTCATTGAATTTCCAGCAAAAGAAGAGGCCTTTTTGGACTCCTTTTGGAGTTTTGGGTGCCACTGCTACATATAAGATAGTGATGGATACGTCAAGAATGTGTCTTTTTTATCATGTACAAACTTTTTGGGTTACTAGGAAAGAAGCGAAACTCCTGAATAATAAAACTCCGTAATAATATTGTGTTGTAATTACGGTTTCACCCTGTCCGTTGGATAAAAACATTTACTGAAATTTCCTGAATTAGACGTTCTCATTAATACTAAGCAATCAGCCGAGAAGGGCTTCTTGGAAAATATGGTTGAACTTGTTACATTTATAAAGTTAAATCATAGTTTGGACAGGACTCAAATGATAGTTTGGCTTGAGAGTGGTTTTATTTCAAATGTTTGTCTCCAATTACGTAATGTTTCAGGAGGAGAAATCATGTTCCATAATTATTGATTGTCAGAAGTCACTCAGCTACAATCAGCAGTTCATTTTTCTGCCATTCTGTCACATCAGTCATTGTACAAATTCACTGATGAATATCATTTCTCCCTCGGGTTTCTGCATGATCAATATGATTTAGCAGGTTTTCTTGTTTGGCTGAATTCAAATTTTAAGTGAGGACTTAGTGAATTCTAAATATCATTTCTTTTTAATTTCAAATCAAATTTAATCAACCTCCCTTCATTCAGATGAGAAATATTTTCTGTTTGGTTGGAAATCAGTAGTTATTATTTGTAATGCAAGATATGAAGTAATTTGGATCCCTGGCCTGTGGAAATGACATCCTCTACTTTGAATAAGCCATTATAACACTAGTTTGTGGTCTGTTTAATCCATTAGCTGAAGCCATGCCAATCACTTGGAAGTTCCTTATTGATATGTCTTTATACGTGTTTACCTGATTTTGGAAAATGTTTCTTAAATGTTACAATATGATTCTTTGTCCAGGACACACAATTGCTACTATGGGATCCCGAGATGGATGAAATTGTTGTGCTGGTGCGCCGGCCTTCTGGTGGATCCCCTACATTTAGCACAGGAAGTCAGTCGTCTCATTGGGACAATGCTTGTCCTGTTGGTATGTTGCAACCTGCTCCAAGCATGAGAGATGTCCCCAAGTTATCCCCACTGGTTGCTCATCGTGTCCACACTGAACCTCTATCAGGCTTGATATTCACGCATGAATCTGTCCTTACTATGTAGGGAGGGTCATATAAAGATCTGGATGAGACCAGGCTTTACCGAAGGCCAGTCTAGCAACTCTGAATCATTATTGAGTACCAGTGCGAAGGAGAAACAGTCGCTCTCTGGGAAGGCTGTGAATTCAAGTTACAAGCAATGACCACTACCTGTGTTGCTGGCAAAATCATGCCCTTGTAGTTGATGTCATATGTTTTTTTGGAAATTGAAAAATATATGACCTAACTAGCTTGCAGAGATATTAACTGACAAGGTTCCTTGTATAGCCAGGGCTTAAAATGCCATCAGGGCACCAAAAAATTGAGAAGAGTGCCCGGCCACATTCTAATTATGAAAGGGCTGTGCATCAAATTTACCAGCGAGAATAATTGAGGTACCATTTTGATATCTGTATTGCCTAGTTGCTTGTTCTTTTTGTAGCCAATTTTGCTGGGAAGGGAGCTGGTGAAACACTTAAATTATGCAGAATCATTTGCAGATTTTGCTGTTTGACATTGACTTCGCATTCTTTGTGAATGCTAATAATTCTTTTATGGCTCAAAGTTTGAGGGGACTTATTTTATCTGCTCAGTATGTAGCTTGACAAAATGGACTGTCATTTCTATGTACCTTTGATCAGTAATTGTCCTTGGACGTTAAAGATAGGTGTTCTTTCAGGGCAGTTGCTCCTTTTATCTTTCTTTACATGAATTTGCGAGTAGCTTTGACCATGGCTAAAGCCTAAAGCCTAAAGGTTTCAGTTTCAGGTTTTTAAAGACTTTATCATTATTTTTATTATTTAAGATATACGGCATTGTATGGTTCTAAAACAACAAACCTGAACCTTAAATTCATGGTAAACTCGAATTTGTGAAGAACATTTAGTGCAATCAAATTCCCAGAGCACAATAAGGCCGTATATATTCACATAACTTCAAATTTCACCAGAATCGGAACAAAGAACACACAGAAAACCCTAACTACAACTAAACACGGTATCAATATAGACACTTGCATCTCTATAAACTTTTGATTCGAGTTAATAGAGAGAGTGTAATACAAACCCCAACGCATTGAGCCTGGGGTTCCTTTCTCACACCCAAAAATTGATAAGGTTCCTTTTGCATATTGCCTTGGTGCTCTGCCGTGGATAGTTTACTCCATCATGTCATTGTGGACTCCAATTTACAAGCAACTCTGTACAATCGGAAGACGGCCTTGGCCTCTGTAAGATAAGTTTAAACGACCACTAACAGCCAGGGGCAGTCCCTGCATTCGCAACATTTTCATTTTGTTGCGGATTGATTTGTTGCGTGTGAAGACTATCTCCCCCAGACTGATTTGGGTGTATCACCTCCTCAGAATTGCGTTCCTCAACTGACTGAGCAACCCATCTTCCCCTCCATTTCAAGATTTCAAAAATAATGGAAGTCCCACACATAGCACCACCAAATCCAGCAAATGTAGCCAGCAGAACGGCTAAAACCGCTTGGACATTAAGCTGTTCCATTATTAGCATTAAAATGTTGAATCAGGATATACTTTGTACCATAAGTGTACTCCAAAATCTAGTTCAAGAAAAGCTTCCCTCACCAGTGAGTAGAAAATATGTGCAAAGACAACCACCAAAATGAACTGAACAGTAGCATAGATCCACGCAAATCTTCTCCTTACTGACAGCCAGAAAACAAGGAAAGATTAATTCCTCTACTTCGCTAAGATTAAGCTAAAAGAATGGATGCAGCAGCAGGGAAAGTACCCATTGTAGTTGATGTCATGGATGCAAGAAGGCCCAATATGCAAGAAAAGGGTAGAGAGATTGCGATTGCACCAGACCCCATTTTTATGACCTGCCATTATTCAATGTTAGACTACATGAACTGAACACAAAGTATGACATGATAAGTTCAGCATATTACCAAAAGCTGCTCAAGGAAGCAGAAGTACGCGAGCATGCTTACAATAACAAGAACCGGAACATCCTGCAATACCCTGTAGGTGGTTACTGTGTCACTAAGTAAACATTAAGATATTAACTTTCCATAAGCAAAATGTAATCTTAAAAAGTGAGTCAGCTAACCAGAAACTGTGACAAACATTTAATCACCAGATCCATAATGCAAATTAACAAACAGACAATTACTCTTGAATACAGGCAATATTTCTACACAGTTACTGTAAAAGTCTAAATTTGCAGGTTGACAAACTTGCCTGTATCGATGAACTTGAATAGGATTCACTCCGCTTCCTCGAGACCGACCATCTTGGATCCGCAATAGTGTAACAGGTAAGTTCTTAACTTCTTGCTTGCAGACATCACATGTCCTGTTGCCTTTTATGCTAAACCATTTCACAGCACAATCTTGGTGAGCCAAGGCAAGTTCACCCTTACAGTTGCATTCCATCTTCAGGGTCTCTGACCCCTCCCCTAGTTCAACAAGGCAGATCCTGCATACTGCTTCTTCTTGAGGGATATCTTCAGCATCATTGCCACTTCCTTCTGAACCAAAAGACCAACATAAGATGAAACTTGGTCATCTTAGAGAAGGAAACAAGCTAAAGAATCAGTGGATCTGCAAATGCAGTCAGCAGAGCGCTTCTTTTCTTTTAGATCCAATACAGCTATGGTCAACTAATCTGAGTGTTATGCTGTCGAAAATAGCTTTTTTGGATATCTGTTCATGAGTTTTTTGAAAGAAATGCTTAATATGTGCACAAGTGTTCAAATGAAATCCATCAATTGCACAACGAATTGTAACTCTTAGTTTCTCAAAAATAGACACGACAGCCACAGAACTATTTGGTTCTTCTCCATGTTTAAATCTGATGCTGTACGGGATATCAATAAGAAGAGGGAACTGCAGCCTAAGCATATGCATCTGAGTCTAAATATTCACTCTATTTTTGTAGCAACAGGTCAAGGATAAAACATTGCAAAAGGTTATACAATTGTGTAAAAGAAAAGGCCTACATGAGTTCAAAAACAGACATGTTTGGCTTCATGACATTGAACAGGCATCATACCCAAATCAAATGTTTCAGTTGCATCTGATGTTCACATTGATGAACTCTAACTCATACTAATACATGCGAAAAATATGATAATATAATACCTATATCGACCGTTACAGATGCATCGGGTGAAGGCATGTGGTGCTCTGTAACTCGTGGAGTGGCCGGAACGACACGAATTATCCCACCTGAGTACTCCGTCTGCCTAACACTTCCATCTTTGTTCAGCGCAGGTACTGAACGTGAACGATGAATGGGATAGAATGTCCCACCTTTCTGTAGAGTAAACTTTTGTCAAGGCTATCTGAAGACTATTAGTCTCTAATTTAGTTGATCAGAAGCTAATTAGCAGCTAAGCAGATGAGCAGTAGCACTATATGTAAAGAATACAGATAGTTCACAGCAACAGAAAAAAATATAAAGGAGGATCTTATGGATTAATATTGACAATCAGCAACAGGAAAAAAGAATATCAAAAGTCTGAACACTGATATAATAAACACAAATCTTTTGAATTTTTTATCCGGAAATCAGACAGATTGGTCAAAGTTATATTTTGATACGGTAACATAAATATAATCGAAAGCACGAATAGCAGCTATACTAGGAAAGAAACCATGAACTTCGCAAATAATGATAAGTATTAGTGAAAACATTATGAGATGAACATATCAAAAAAATACTTACCGCAGAATTTCCGTTCCTTCCATGGAACGACTCTGGATTTGAATGTAAAACTGGAGTAGACGGTAAAGACGATGTTCTCTTCATCCTAGGTGTGAACAACTTTGAAAGGGAGAATGTCCGTGTAATCGAGGTCTTTTCCTGTGACCCTAGAGGAGATCCTAAAGCCAACATGGCAGCTTTCTCAATCTCTGCATTTGTATTCCGGAACTTAAAGCTAAGTTTAGGAAGGAGGTTCTTCACTGATGGTTTAGCCTTGTGCGACGAGGGAAGGGGAGATCCATTAAACCTGCTATCTGAAGGGCTCGGCAACGGCGAAAAGTTCACTCTTTTAGGGGTTGGTGGTGATGATTGAGGCACATTTATCCTCACGAAATCCTCCTTAAAGCCCTCCCTTGCTGTTCTTCCCGGTATGTCCAAAACAAGATCTTGTCTGCTGTTTTGTTGACTCGTTGATGCTTCCTCAACTATTTCCATTGATTCTTCAACCTAGGAAGACATTCAAAAACTGTTACCAGGTGGAAGACTAAAAGTTTCTGAAACCTCAGAGAACTCGCAGCTCTAAACTACATAACCATAAATTAAAAATCCAAACAAATAACCCCAGAAAATGGAAAGTCTTCCAAGCCAAAAATCAAAACTTTTGACAATAGACGATCACTGATCACTATACTAATTACCACCAAAATATTAGTACATAATTCAAAGGCTGCCTCCGATTTCCTTTTCTGCCAATCATTGTTAAGAATTCCGACTTCTCAACAATTGAAAAAGGAAAACGAAAACCAGAATAAAACATAAAAGATAGAATAAGGATGACTGAACTGAATTCCAGAAAAGGAAGAACAAGGAGACAATACCTTATGAACAGTCGGAGGCATAGCGGCGGCGCCGCCGGAGGTCACGGCGAGCTGATCATCGTGGCCTTCTCTCTTACTAACCACAGCATCATTACTATTAGTAGGAAGAGAATTATCCGGAGAAATTTCCATAAATGCACATAAAAAGTAAAACCGGGAAAACCCCAGAAATGTAAAGAATTCGATAAATTTCGGATTGTTGAAAAAGAAAGGTATCAACAGAATTCCACCAGAAGTTCTTCTGTACTGGGGAAAAGGAGGTACTATAATCAAAAGAAATTAACCAGAGAGTCAACAAAGATCAGCTCAGTCACCGGGCCAACGGATGGCGGTGGGGGATGTGGGTGGGCCGAGGGTGGACGGCTAAACTGAACCAGTGGCTGCGCTGACGGACCCTGGTGGTTTCAGTACACTTTTTGGGCCGCAATTATATATGTATACACAGAAATATATTACAGCGTATTTAGAGGAATAATAACGACAAATTAGAATACAACGGCAGTTTAACAATTTGCAGAGGGACAACAGATTGGATAGACTGAGCACTGAAATGATGTAAGCTGAAACAATGAATTTTTTGTATGAATAAATTATACGTTTTTTTAATTGTGAGCTAAAACTAATTGATGAGCAGCAGCTCCCTTGCTTTGTTTTTGTTATGTTGATTTTGTCCCATGAATTTACAGTTTTCGGATAAATTAAGATTTGTAGTTTCTCGGTAAGTAGCATGCAGAACTGGTAGTTTCATTAATTACTGATTTATCCTTTTTATTTTCCCTAACAGCAAAATTATTTATGGGATTTTCATTTTTGTCAGTTTCCATTCTACTAATTTTAGGTGTTGTATGTGTTTGAAACGAGACAATCAATACTCTTTAGCTAAAGTTTATTCAAAGTCTGAAACTATTTTTATGGCAAAGAATTTTTCAAGAAAGTTTCTCTTTATATATGCAAAACTTGAATACGGAACTTGTGTGTGAATTGAAGGGATAAATAAAGGAAAAAACCAAACACTCACACGCACGGTTTTTAAGCCCAACTACCATTTCCTTCGTCTTTCTCGTTCCTTAACAAAATTAAAAATAACAACACTGTATTTATATTGAAATACATGGATAAGGCTGCGTACATTATCTTAACCCTTCGCAAACCTCAACCGAATTGAGAATATACTGGGTGGGTACGTTGTTGGTGTTGTTATATTATATTTGGATCTGGAAACTTGAGTTCAGAAAGCAATTTCCTCCATATATTTTGGGGGGGTTTTCCTTTTTCCGGTAAAGAGTTCTTTTGGGCATATAAATCACTTCTTCTCCATTGGTTGGATAAAGATTTGTACTTTCAAGTGTTGTGTTTTCTTGCTTACTACTACCACTACTAGAAAAGAAAGTTTCATGTTCTAGGATAAGTTTTGCATCTTTACTTTTCTTTTTCGTCTAACAAATCCCATCTGCTTCTGCTATAAGTGGCAAAGTGGTAATCTTCTTGCTCTCTGGCTTTCTACTTAGGCGTATACTAGGAGAGTACATTACAACCACAGCAGAACTGGTTGTTGAGCTGTCAATACAATCAATGTTTACATTGATACTACAATACCATCATAGATTAATATTTTTTAAGGAAAACATGAATTATCTTATAGTAGTACCAATCATGTACTACAAGTAAAAACAACTGGGCACGACTTCATTTTTCCATATAAACATATAAGGAAATATATAAATATCCATACATCAATAATCATGAACCGTCATCATCAAGCACGACTCCATTCCTTGCACATTTAAGGAGAAAAAATGAATACCGTAGAGCAGATATCAGAATCGGAAGTAAGATATGGTTAAGAATTAAATTTTTTTAAAAAAAAAACAAAAGAAATTTAAAAAAATTAATAAAAATTTATATTAAAAGATTTTATTTTATTTTTTTAAAAAAAAAGGTCCTAAGTTGATGGTTGCAACTTGCATTCCCAACTTTTTCCAAAAAAAAAAAAAAAAAGACAAAACAAAACAAAAAACCTGCATTCCCAACTTCTTTTTGCCTGAATTGGGGTTATTTATGTAGATAGTTGGGCTTCAACGTACTTAGATATGGATGGGCTGTTGAACTTGATGAGCCGAAAATAGTACCCAAGGTTTAGCTTATTTTTTCCCCCAGAAATATTTTTAATAAATTCCTCTATTGTAAGTATTTGTAAATGTAGTAAGCATGTCATCATATCTTGCAGTATGATGAAAAGGTTAACTCAAAAAAAAAAAAAAAAAAAAAAAAGGAAGTAATTGCAAACCATTCTTCCATGAGGACCTAGTTGACTTTGGTGCGTGGGATGGGACTGCATACTCCAGCTAGAAAGAAAATAGGAGTAGATAACACTGCAAATGTGTTTTTCCCCCAAAAAGAAAAGAAAAGAGTTGTATGATTAAATAGCATTACTGAAAGCAAATGTCCAAATGACCAAGTCGTTAGACCCGTTACGAAATGTGCACTTGATTTCATTAGTTGAAGAGGTAAATTTTGCAATGGTAGTAGTGCAAAACTTGTGAAATGGAGTAGGGTTTTGGATAGTGCGAATTGATTTTAACAGTCGGAGGGGGGTGGGATGGATCTGAAAGCAATGATTTACCCACTTGGATTTTATCTTTTTTTTTTCTGCAATCATTTGTGTGTTTGATCATGGAGTACGAGGAGATATGTGCCCACTTCAATTTGGTTTCTAGTCTTCACTCTTCAACATTGTTTCTTGAAATCTTGTAATTGGCCCTCTTCCCGCAAGTGGACGAAAGATCACTCAAATAAGTTTTTGATAATACAACTGATCAATCTTGTCTCCACTAATAATATATTTATAATCTTTTTCTGTCTCCAAAAAAAAAAGAATTTTATTAATCATTAAACTGAAAATATACAACCGACATGACTTTGATTTCATGATAAATAAAGTATTTATAACAATAACAACATCATTTTGTGCATTATAGAGACTCGATCGAGTGTCTATTGGGTCATCAAAACGACGAAGAAGTTGACCAAAGGGAATAAAAAAAAAAATTAGTTATACTTTAACCAAAAAAAATGGAATAATTAGCTAGAATTATTCTTTATTCTCTGTACGTTGGTTAATTTTCTTTTGTCATTAAGGACATGATTGAATTTAGGCATTAACTGTACGTTGTTTAAATACTACTACTAATCTTGTGCTTCCCATGCCTTTGCAGTGCTCGGAAGATCCTAGTGACAGATTAAGTGGCGATTCGTAGTCCCTATTTGTGAATTTTCTGATGAAATTCAACTCCCGGCTCAGAGCCTGCAGGGTCGCTTTCACTTAAAACAAAAGGAAACTTGACAACGAAATCTTTGATGAATATTTAATCGGATCAGGGCACTCTGTATATCAGATTTTTGACATTTTAGGACAGTGACATATTGGATGATGACAAGGATACAATCAATATTTCGTACAATTGGATGCCCCATTTGGATCATTTTAATTCCGGGAAAATGTCAAAACATGGTTCCAAACTACTCTAGATCACAACTAGCCTCAGGTTAAAGGAAATGGATCATTCATAACTCTTTGATGATCAAATAATAAGACAGAAACAAATACTAATGATTTTCCAGTCGAGTGTAGTTCACCTAATGATTGATGTGACGATAAATTCGTTGTATGAAGAATCACATTACAACTTTTGCGTGAAGGGTACTTCTACTTACGAGATCGACACCACCGCCTTACAGAGTAGGGATACGTATAAAAGTATATAGCCGTGGCCGGAACCAGAACTATATATAGCCGGGACCGGAACTATATTTTGATATCGCCGCCCCCAAAAGATTTTATTACGATCTTTCCTTCATGAGCGGAAATTCGAGAGTAAAACCATCCCACATGCCCGAAGCGAGAAAAGTCCGACGAGTAACATGCGCAAGTCCCCGAAGTGGTCCTTGAATTGTGAGATAGCAAAGCTTTTCCATTGATAGTGGCAAATCGAAACAATCATAAGCATCTAAAGTCTAAACCCACAAACATTACCTTCATCTAATTGGGGCCTCATTTCCATTACCGCGGGCCCAAAAGCTTCGCAGATTGAGAATAATGCACTAAGCAGCTTTTCACACTACCTAAAGCCAGCCAAGTTTTTGGTTTGGTAAGACAGACTACTATTATGAGTTCTCCTCGAGCGGATAAAAAGACAATAGGGAGCACAAACCACCAAAAAATACACACAAAAAAGTCGGCCTTATACACGAAAAAGCCCCAGCAAACAAACAATATATGATGCTCTCTATACATATATGTTGAACAGACAGTTGTAGGAAATTTTTAGCTATAACCAGCAGCACCCACCTTGTTGGCATTGAAGCCAATTCACTTACAGCTTTCTTGGTGCATTTTGAGCTAGTTCGTATTTCCTGTCTCATTACAATGAGGGTAACACAAGTGTGGGCACAACCCCAAATGTCAAAAAGGGCAGACAAAGAGAGGAAAGAAATGGTAAAATAAAAATTTACATGATGGGCATGCTTTTGGGCTTTTTATCCTAAGATTCTTCCTCGGCTCCATTGCTAACTTTGATCTCAAGAAGCCGCTCAACCGGTTGTCTGCAAATGGGGCACCTATTCGTTTGGAACCTCAATACTTTTGCGCAACCGCTGCACATACACTGCAATTGAAAATTTAAACCCATTAGATTCAAGGATAAAGGCAAGACTCTACCGTGAATTCCAGCAAAACTGTGAACAGGCATTTCAATCCGTGATGGGGATGTAATGAACGAACAAAAACATCCAAGGCCCCGACTCTCAACTGGGAGAATGTTGACATACACCAAAAAAATTGTGCAAGCATGCATTGATAACTGAGAAGATAGGTAAATGGAAACAATACCATGTGTCGACATGGAAGGACTGTAGTGTCTCGCGGTTCTGATAGGCATATTACACATTCTTTTCCTGGATCGTTTCCATCAAAGTCACTTTCAACTGAATTTCCAATCCCATATATTTCCTGTAATTCATATCTCATCCCATTCACCCACAGTATTTGCTTCACAACCCTCACGTGATATTCACCTTTCTCCTTCTCAAACACTGCCTGGGTTATCTGAGAGTTTGAGGATCCAGGCTCTGCCGTGGTGCTTCCTTCAGTTGGGGTGTTATGATTTTGTAATGACGCCTCTGCTTTAACTGCTAGGGGATAAACATCAATCTCACCTTCCTTCGACAAAACTGCTTCCTCAAACATCGAGAAATCTATTCCAGTTCCAGAGGGTTGTTTAAACTTTTGACCCAAGCCTTGTGGGAACTCCACTGTTACCGGCGGAAGCAAACTTTCTTTTGTTGGAGTAAGGCAACAGTCTTCGCCTTCTTTTGCAAAGAACATGATAGTGATGCTGTATATAACAGGAAAAATCAGACTTCAAGAAACAATAAAATTAAGTAAATTCTCAAAGCAAAGCACATAGTCAACAAGGGAAACAACAAAGTGAAGGGGGGAATTGTCTCATAACCACCAATATCCAAACAATTATCAGTTGCAACTGACTTGGCTGGAAATATTAACAAACTCTTCTTAATTTTCTCTGTTAAACTAGAAGTTTTAACGGCATCTTAAAAGGGCAGCCATTCTAAAGGAAGAGATAACTGGGTAAGGAGTAGGCTAAAAAGCTCAATTCATCCCTGCAGAGTAGTCCTTCGATAAACTAAGGAAAGAAAGCGGCTAGAAAGCTATGTACCCAGCGAAACAAGAGCCAAGAGTTACACCACCCCTCACCCTGCTGTTCTTCCTTAAAAGTAGACTAATAGAGTGTTCTATTTCGCCTCGTCCTGCTGTATAGTACGCCACCCTTTTTCCATGCACTCCTAGTCCTTTCAAGGCCCATCTCAAAATCTTAACACCTTGCCCTGGAACATAATCAGCTCTGATGCTTTCTCATAAGTCTATATTTTATTTCCATTGCAGCCCGCAACAGCACCAAGTACATTATTATTGAACTACCAAAAAACTAAACATGAGAAAATGCAATAAAAGTAAAGCAATAATTTTCTGTCCGTTGCCAAGCTAGAACTAGTATCAAATGAGGCAATGTTTTCACCTATATGAAGAATAAATTTGCGGCATAAAATGCAACCAATTTCCTGGAGAGGCACCCAACTTAAATGAGATAAATCACAACCAGACTGATTTAGGAGCATCCACTATATCTTAGCATGAACTGATTCTCAAAAAAAATAAAAATCTATACCATCTACAAAGAAAAAGAAAAAGTCCCCCTAAACAAAAATTTCGGCAGGATGAATGAAGTCCAAATTAGTACAAGGAAGTTGAGAACACAATCAACACGCAAACAGTCCTGAAGCCAATAAAGCTAAAAAAAAAAAAAACACATTTTTACACAGAAAACAAATCTAAGGTTCTTTCGGTGTCCAGAAGTTCTTTTAAGTTATATCAGTGAATGAAATATGCGTATAAAACACTCATTTCCAACCAAATTCATAGCATAACCGTCAAAACAAGAAAGCTCAATGACAAAGTGGGAATTAGAAACAAATACCAAACCTCAATTTCAATAAAACAAGGAAAAAAAAAAAAAACCTATTATCATCAACTTGTTCGTACCTCCCAGCTACTGTGGCATCAAACGTGAACGCGACAAGGAACTTCCCGGGGTTATCCTCATCGGGCTCAATCCGCAAAGTCTCTTTTTTAAGATTAACATCGTTCCTGATAGTAACCGCCTTCTGATGCTCGACATAAGGTGCGGGCGGGGGCATCATGGGCCCACAGGGGTAACGCCCATTAACCCAACCGGCATGAGCAGCGGCAGGGTCCATACGGTGGTGATGATCATAAGGAGCGGGTAACGGCACCGGCATGGCCTGTGGCGGTCCGGGATAGTAACCGGGATATTGATAATAGGAAGGGGCATTAGGGTTCGGATACTGAGGAGGGTAGGGAGTAGCGGCGGCAAAAACATATCTGTTGGCGGCGATCTCCGGTTGAGGAGGCTGAGGCGGTGGCGGTGGAGGGTGGCTCCTCCGGCTGCCGCTCCTCCTTCGATTATTAGCACCGGTACTTCCGATATTACCCATACTATATAAGCAAACGGAATTCGAAAACCAAGAAACAAAATGTCCAGAAAAGGGGGTGAAAATAGGAATTCAATCAAAGAGAAACCTTTAATTGAATTGACAAAAACAAATTTTTATAAAAAAAAAAAATCAAAATTGAACCTTTTGAGTTTTGAGCTATCACAATACAATCAAAAAAGAATAACTACAGGAACTTATCTATGTGCAAGAAATATTTGATTCAGAAAAACTAATGAGTTGGTTGTTTTCGGGATGAAAAATTAGGTATTTGATAGGAAAGAAGGGGATAGAAATGGTAGCATGGTGGTATTGCATGCGTATTATAATGGGAGGAGAGGAAAGAAAATGCGGTGGTGGTGGGGAAGGAAAAGGGTGGAAGGAGGAGGAGGAAGAAAGTGGAGCAGGAATCTTATGATGATGATTATGGCTAAAAATGAGAAATTGGATGATGGGGGTGATGGCTGCGGTGGGCTGTTAAGGGTGATAACGCCCCAATTCGGGGTTAGCGTAAAGGTCCACCCAAACGCACAGGTTTGGTTGAAAAATTATGCTCACTTTATTTACCCTTTTTTCAATTTGGTTTTGAATAAAAATTTGATCTTTCTCTCCTTTTTCCACAATCAAACTTGGTGAGTGTTTTTATTTTGTTTTGGGGGTACAACAACGCAAATTTTAAGTTCATACTATATGCTTGCCCCGGGCGAATGTCCGGAGTGACGTCTGTATTTTTAAATTGATTAAATAAAAAATACGAATCATTCTTAAAAGAATAAAAAAAATAAAAGAATAAAAAATCGATTGAAAGGACAAAAAGTGAGTTATTATACATAAATCTATGCGCAGATTTATAACATTTAATTTACAACAGTTAACTTGCCCGGGTTTATATAAATCATAAACCAATGTCTACAACAGAAGAATAAAAAAAAAATCATCCTTAAAAAATCAAATTTCTTTCATGACAGCTTATTTTTTCTCTATTGTAGAAATAGATGGATTAATAATTGATGACATATTTTAAGTAATTGATTTAAATGCCCGGATGTAATAGAGGAGCGGAATGGAAGAGATTCTTTGAAATTGGGGATTGGGAAGACATTATTGTGTTTCACTTGATTTAAAGGGATTTCCTTACATTTGATTTTATTAATTAAATATTGTTATTTTAAGAAATTAGTATATACTTATAATTAAGATATTTTTATGTAGCTATAATTAAGGGATTTATGTATTTATCTATTCTTTTTTTTTTGATTAGTTAGAGTACCACTTGTCAAAAATGATTTTGTATTGAAAATGACTTTTGTCGGGAAAATTTTCATTGTAGTGCTGAGACATGTCCTTTTTGTTTACTGCTTTAATTAAGTACTGTAGATGACATAACAGATCATTACTATTTTGGTTTTGGATGTACTGTATTGTTTTTCTCAATTTCCTTTGTTTTTCGGATTTCGCGGCTATCTAGTACATTATTATAACTAGATTTTAAACCTGAATCTTTACCGTAATATAAGATAAAACAGTATTATTTAATCAAAATATGATTCATGGCAAAGCCCAAATTTCACTAAGATGAAATTTGGTATTGCACAAATCAATCGTGGAACTGATATGAAAAGATTTTCCAATTTTGTGGTTGCAAGTTGCAAATAAAGCTAGCTCCAATCGATCTTATCATGTCCAATAATCAGTGCCAATCAAAGGATGTTTCATCGCTTAAAATTGACTTAGATATTTTTTTATCGTTCATTTCATGATGGCAAACTTATGTTTGGTTCGTTTTTTTAATATGTGTTTTTAGGTGTTTTTTGTATTGAGAATGTAAAAAATTGTATTAGAAATGTATAAAAAGGTATACTGGGATGGGACAATTATTAATAAAATAAACTGAAAAAATCATTAAAAAAAAAAAGCAAACAATAATTTTCTGAGATAATAACTCAAAATCGTCTCAAATAATGTAACAGGATAGCAGCCACGGATTACACCCAATTCCGATTTCAAATCAAAGGAAAGATTGCCAATGAAAGTTAAAAACCGAGATCAAAGTTGATTCACCTAACTGTTGTTTAGTGCATAATGATATGCTACAGTCCACTTAACCGGGATACCATTATTTAACTAACACAGGAGTTGGGGGTCATCTCCATGACTCCATGCACATAATTTGGAATTTTATGACTTTATTCTCCCCTACTACAATAGCATGGCTATTGGTAAACACTAAACACCAAGAAAAAAGGAAACATTTTAATTGACTAATACTATATGTGTAGAATTATTGACCCCTTTTCTGGATATATGAGTAGAGAATCTCAATTCGAGTCCTCGGATTTATAAAATACGTAAACAATTGAAGGATGCAATATTAAGATTGATTCCTATCTTGCTTCTTGAGGCTTCCGCTCCCGTATCCGTCTTCGAGTATAGCTGTTCCTTCAAGACACCTATGAATTGATCATCATATTTTTTTTATGATATACACTACTTCAAAAAAGAAATGATACACGTAATGTCTAGAATCAATTGTAACTTTTTTCCCGAAAATAATAACGATTGCATGTACATATTAACCATAATTTAATCATCGTTATTGTATTTTTCTTTTCCCCTGTCCCCTATTAATTGGGGTCAGAATAATGGTAAGAAACATAAGTCCACCTTTCCGGACATAAAACGTACTTTAACGACACAGCAGCAGCATATACTGCTGGAAATAGCACCGTACGTTACAGCACGATAGTGCACTCCACTGTATACTGCTTTTAGAGACTAAAGTCTAAACTAATCATTCTGGCCAAACGTTAAAATGCTTTTTCCAAAGCAACATTGAAGGGCTCTCGAGAATTCAGTGTGCTTTGTGGGTTTGACAGTTTTTCTTCATAATATATCCCTCCACTCAATTTCTTCTTTTATGATATTTAATGCTCCTTTATGTATAAATCTTAATCATGTCCATTTAAATACGTGATCATGATTTTTGTCTAATAAATAAAATTGATACAAGATCGTGATTGATTAACAGCTCTTGACAAGTGGGTTAATGACTGGGCTCCCTTGACTATTGGGGCTGAACTCCATCCAAATAACTGTATTACGTTTATAAATTACAGTATCATTCATCATGTCTACACAATCTGAATGAAAAACATTTTGGTATCCAGGAGATTGGGCTGGAACTATTTGTCAGACCAGCAACACATTGGGCCGGTTGGATAAGTGTCAGGTCCGGGTCACCGGCGACACTGGCGGAGGTGGATTCCGATAAATCGGAGGCGTAAATGGGAATTAGGGTTCAAGAACCAGGAAAGGAATTGGGAACAAATCTACAAATTCACTAAAATCAATTCAATACAATACTTTTATACAATTCTTTTTACAACCCGGATGGAGTATTTATAGTTTCTGAGATTACCAAAATTACAAAGAAGTCCCTATACTATCCACAAGTACCAATTAACCCCGAGATCATGACAATAAGTTACTGCCAATCTGCCATCACCCAATCAATGGTCATTATGAATTAGCTTATACTCTTGCTGACCGCTGATGAACTGAGCGACTGAAGATGACGAATTAGAGAACCCTACTCGGGCAATTTTAGTTCGAGATTGTCCAGTTTAAATTTTTAGTTTTTACAAAAGAAAATTCAAAATAAAAAAATAATTGAATTATAAAAAAAAATCCAAAGCGAAAAATAATTTTAGAACTGAGGAGTATTACTTATTTTGACAAGTTTGTTTTGTTTCATCTGCTCAATCTTAAGCTAAAAACACAACTAACGAACCTAAGCATCAAAGGAACACTTATATTAGTGCATTGCACATTTGCAGTTCAGCTACAAAATGAGGAGAGTGCATAATAAATATAGAAAAAAAGTACTTTTCTGTCTCAAAATTATTATCCAGTTTGAAATTTCACTTTTAGCACAATTTAAACTATAAATAAAAACCCAAACTGAATAATAATTATGAGACGGAGGGAATATGTACCAACAAGTTGATCTAATCAGAGGAACGCTTATATCAGTACATTGTACATTTGCAGTTCAGCTACAAAATAAGGAGAGTGCATAATAAATATAGAAAAAAGTATGTACCAACAAGTTAATCTCAATGATAAAAGCAATTGGCCCAATTTAACAATGATGAGTTCAAATCTGGATATGAGTATGGAGCAACAATGATTAAAATATTTGTTGAATTATTTACTAGGAGAGTTTTGTCTTTATAAAAGAACTTACTAAACTCGAATTTGAATTAGTCGGAACAATAATTTTGGACACTAAATATATAATATGTCAAAAAAACGGATGAAATTAAAAGAGAATTGAAAGGCATCCACTAAGCAAGGGCTAACCTATATATTTCTTTTTTTTAAAAAAAATAAAATAAAATAATCTATATTAAGTTTTGAGGTTTATAAAAAATTTAATACACAATAAATAGCATAATTTGGTTGACTTCAAACTTTAGGATTCAAAAATACGAGAGACTTTCATGCGGATGACGATTGACAAAGATTATTTATAAACTCCCCCGGTAGTATACTTTCTCTTTTCTTATTCAGAAAACTAATTATCTCTTCATAAATTAAATCGATTAGAATAAAATATTATTTTCTTACGTTTCAGTCTTTTTGACGAATCTTAATACATTTTTTAACACAAATATAGGCAATACTTATTTGGCTAAGCTCGTAGGTTGTTGGTTGCCGCGTTCGATCCTAAATAACCCAGGGGAGGGAAAAGGGCAAAATCAGTCTTAGTCATTGGTTGAAAGTCAGGAATCGATTTGGTCTAACTTCCTAGAATTAAGAGTATGTTATGAGAAAGAGGTCAGAGATGGTTTATCCACGAGGCCTCAAAGAGACAATAACAACGACGTCGTCCACTACAACCAATTCTAGAATTCCTCCCTTAATTCATCAGTGATTTTTTCCGAAAACGAAATCCCGGGGTTGTCAATTCCCTCATAATTAACCATGACAATATTAATTCTCCCCCTTTTTTCACAACTTTTGATCACTTCAATTCCCGAAATGTGGTCGTCCACTAGATTTAGTCTAGTTTGCTCTTCTTTTCTTTTCCCACCCCCTCTGATCGACCTGTGTGGTGTAGGAGTAATTTCTTTTTCCTGGTCGTCCAATATCGGAGCAATTATGGTCCGACGAGCAAGACCGATATCTTCGGTCAAGTTAATTTCCAGTTGGTGATGGTCAATCATACAGAAAGGAATGCACTCAAACGTAATATATGCGGGGAAATCATAACGTAGTGCCGTAAACTACTATATACTATTACTACTATTTTGTTCCAAAATGTGACTACTATTATAATTTGCCATCTATACTATTTATTCTAAATTCTACATTCACACCTAGTTAGGTATTCATGGTGTTCTGAAATAATGTCTCATTTGAATTTTTATTTTAGTACCGTTTAATTAAAAAAAAAGTAAAAATATAATTTGCTTGAATCTCTCTAATTTGCGTGTACTTAATTTATCCCTTACACGGTTGAAAATAATTACTCCCTCCGTCCCAAAATTATTGTCCATTTTGAGATTTCATTTTGGGACGGAGGGAGTATTTCAAAACTTTTGCCCTATTAATAAAAAAGAATGAAGGAATCCGTTAAACAGAGATGAAATTTTTGTTTCTAACTGCCTACCTAGTTCTTTCTTACCAACAAACTAAAAGAAGGCCAGAAATGTGGAATGAGTATTCGGACATTGAGAAATTAATGCTGATCAAGGTCATCAATTGTGAATCACATCGAGATTGATGGCTCTTGCTTAAGAGATACCAAGTTACGATGCCTACCTAAGAGAAGATCTCAGAAAACATTATTCCACGTTAAGGACTTGACAACTGAAAAGTATACTAGTCAGCAAAATGGTGAGAATCCATTATTTTGTTTGTTCCCATTGATTTTGCTTTGCTTGTTTTGAGTTAAAACCCTGTATTTTCCAACAAGGTTTAGGAAAATTTTATTTACTTTATCATTCCAAAAAAAAAAAAAAATTCCTCTTTATTAATTTACAAGAGTACAATAAAATATACTATTTTTTTCTAGAACGGTAATGTAACATAGTAAATTTAAATAAATATTAGACAACATGAGATAGTGATTAATAGAACATGCATATATATATATATATATAACAACTACTTCATAATATTTTATTAATTATTAAAACAGTGATGAAATATTTTTATCTTTTCATAAAACTACTTTACAATATAAATCTTACTAGTTGTTTGTTATACAAATTAAGTACTTCTTCTATCCTAAAATTATTGTCTAGTTTGAACTTTCAGTTTTAATTTAATTTGTATTAAAAATAAAACTCCAAACTGAACAATGATTTTTGGATGAAAGGAGTATATAATACACCAAAAAATCTTCCCGTCTCAGAATAATAAAAATGCTTCTTTTGACGATAACTCGCCGGAGCAAAATAATGTGGTAGGAAAGTTTGCAATAGATTTTCTCCCCGCAAGAGCGGAACAGACGACAAACGAGGAGGAAATGGTCCGCGGCTACGAGACACAATGCAAAATTAACACTGTAGTTTAAATTCTTTTTTTTTTTTGTATGGCCACACAGATTGTTTGTTTTGATTTAGTTTTGAACTCACGACCATTACTGACCATGTATAATGTTTGACCAATATCATACGCAGACCGGCAGATACGTATTGTTGCATGTACGTACAGTGCGCGCAGCGAATTATTATACTCAAATAGTTTAACTAAAAAAAAGAAAGAAATACATTATTAATTTGAGAAGGAAGTCGTAAGGGTTAACAAAGGTGGTCAGAACTTCATCATATTCTTTCGTTTGACGGGAGGACTGTTTCATGGTATTACAACACCTGACCGTTTCCTACTAGCGACAAAATATGTTTCAACGAGTTAAAACTTTCGGTCAAGCATAAATTCATAGCTAAAAATGTTGTTATTTTTTGCTTAAAAAAAGAACCGATTTATTTATCCTAATTTAATGAAAGGTCAGCCCTAAAATCAAAACATAAGAGTCCATTAATCATGACCAACTGATTACAGTTTGCAGACATAATCTCTATGAATTTTATAATTTAGCGTAAAATATAGTGCGTTGTAATAGTTTAAATCTTATTATTTAATATATCTATGTGTATTTTTTAAAAAATAAAATAAACTTCATGCCTTGATTGTCGAATACTTTTACCTTTTTCTTTTGTTTCTATAGTTAAATTTTTTTATAAACGCTTATGTATTTGCTGATAAAAAATAATGTTAACTCTTGTTCTATTCTTAGAATAGCCGAAATTTAAAAATTGTAATGTTTTTAGTATAATTATCATTAACTATTAATATAATAGCGAGTGCCAATAATTAATGTGTTTGGCTCATTAAATTAAATGTAATGTCGTCAATTATGTAGCCTTTAATTAGTATCATGGGGGCCGTCGTGCACCATCGCCGAACGTGCATCTTGAACCGGAGTTTGCTGACATTTCGCGCTTCATTTGCCGTAACGTACCCGGAGGACGTTTCAGAGAAAAGGAACATACTAGGAGATTGTCGGACGTCTTTGTGGGATCTCTGGTGGACGGATTTGACCAGTTTCAATAGATGGTTGGTTACTCCGCTTTTCCAAATTCACTTCTATTTATCCTGTTTCAAAATAATTATTTAGTTTAAATTTTTATTGTTAATATTAATGTAATTAGTATTAAAATTGAAATTCTGAATTAGTCAATGGAATAATATGTATCACGATGCTGTCTGATTAATCCTTCCCTGTTGATGGATCAAATATAACCAAACATCGATTGCTCGTATTCCTTGGACAGAGGCCAGCCCAGCTGCATGCGGCGGGAGGAGGCGGCGGCTGGCTGGCTAATCCTCACGGATACGATACGATATGGCCCAGAAAAAAAATAAATGAAGACCCTTCTTGATGAAGTTGAAGTGCAATAGTAAGGTAGTTGGGCACCATAAATGTATTCAATCCGAGCAAGATGTTGAAGGATGATAATAGTGTAGGAATGTGACTACATTATTACAAAATATTTTGTTTTGTATTCTCTTTTTCTTCCTTATTTCTTTTTTCCCATTTCCATCCCGTGACATGTCCAATGATATGCAATAGTATTCCTCCACTAGTGACTACCCCGAAAAAGCTTAAGTCAAGTCCAGTGATATTGATTTTTTTATTTTATTTTATTTTTTTTGTTTTGGCTGGTAACAAATTCGTAAATTACTGTTTTAGTTAAAACGTGAAAAGTATTGTACGATACTCTATACCTATCAAAATTCAACTCTGATAGTTTGCATTATAAGTGCTTTTTAGCCTTTTTTTTTTTTTTTTTACAACCAACCATATTTATTTAACACGGTCAAAGTTGTTGGAACCTCTTCAACTCTCCGTCCTTCAATTTTTTAATGTATTCCTTTCGTCTCACAAAAATAGTACACATTGAGTTTTATACTATTTTTAGTACAAATTTGAAAACTCAATGTAGACTATTTTTTTGGGACGGAAGTAATATTATTTCTCAATTCAAATGTTGCTTCACTTTCTAACCTTTTTTTTTTTATACAATTCTCACAAATACTTAGGCTATCACATGTGTGAGTCTGGGAGATGGGAATCTATTACTAGCCTAGTCTAATAGGGGATGTTTTTCTTGACAGATGCGATTTATGAGTAAATTTTCGGGAAATTCACAAATAAGTGTTAAAAGGGGCAAACAAAATAAAGAAAGAAAAAGGAAAAGACAAATACAAACTTAAAAGTATACTGATCGACACTAAAACTACATATGAAATGAAACGAAATAGCCACCAAATTATTCTCCAAAATAACCAACTTTCTTCATTATATGATAAGATGGAACAAAGCCAGTGATTTGCTTTTTATTTTTTATACATGCCGGTATTATTATATCATTTCACTAGATCTGTTTTTACTGTCTCAATTATTCTAACAAATATAACATATAGTACTTGGAAAGTAAATCCCAAGTACAAAATAACATATAAGTTTGGTTAAATAATGAAGAATTATGATAAAGCAGCAGCTATTGTTGAATGTGTTGACTGCTTAGAGGTCTCTGTTTTAGATGATGTATTAGATGGTTTCCCATTTTAGCCTCTTGTATAGTATTATGTAGTTACTTAGGCAGGGCTATACTTGTAAATATAGAATAGTCAAACAGGTATATATATGCATTGTATAGTTAGTCAGACTTTGATGTAGAAGATTCTTGCAGATCTAATCGATATGGTTTTTCCCTTTTTCTTCACTGATTGAAACCCTAGCCATGGCTTCCGTCCTCCCTCTGTTTACCATCTTTTGAAATAAGAAGAAGGGTATAGCTTGAGACATAAAACAAATGGTAAATAGGATATTTGGATTACATCATGCTCTAATTACAACTTAATCACTCCCTTTGTCTCAAAATTATTATCCAGTTTGATATTTCATGTTTAGTACAATTTAAACTAAAAGTAAAAATCTAAACTGGACAATAATTATGGGACGGAAAGAGTATAATCAAAGCATATATAATCTCGTAGGTCGAAACTATTTGCGGTTAGTGAAGCCAAAAAGTCCAGCTCAAAGATAATAATATTAATTAATATTAATTATTAAAATAAATTAAAAGTTTGGCTTCTCCAGCCGCCTTCCGTTTTTAGAAACAAAGATAGTAAATCAAGAGGTTCGTATTTGGAAGTTGGAACCATTCAGTATATTTTAACAGTAACCATTTCATATTAATTTACGTCCAATGATGGAAGTAGGTTTCCTACGGTCTTTCACCGTTTTAGTTGAACGAGTATGCGATGCTCCGAATGTAACGATGCTCCGAATCTCAGTAATACACACACAGGGAAAAAAAAAAAAAAAAGAAAAGAAAAAGAAAAGGTAAGATGGTAAAATAACGAAATAGTCAAAGTCCACTTTAGCAATCGAACGACCAAAACGAACCAGTATAGCATTATAAATAGAAGAAGAAGATAGAGCTCAATCTGGAAAACACTTTGTTGTTGGTTTTGTGTCTTTTTCTGCCCTTGCTGATTATACCAAATATACGCATTTGTTTGCTTTGTGTATTGAAAACAATCAAATATCCCACTTCAAAAGAATTTATATATTAATATCTGAATTATCTTTCCAAGTCCAACTATCAGCCAAACATCCTACACCTACTGAAATTATTCATCAATCATCATCCCCTTTCGGCTGTATCTGGCTTACCTTTTTATTTCCCCCCCTCATTTTTGGTCGTCATCTTCTTGATTTACGTACTTGTTCAGATCTGAGTTTTTTTGTTTGGTTTAATAATGTTGAGGGGTTCGTACTAAATAGTTTGGAACGAGTTGGTTGACCTTATTTTGGTGGCTTTAATTAGCTGAGAAAGAATATTGTTTACCAGAAGAGCGTGAAACAGAGAAAGAAAGGATGAAGCTGCCATTTCCATTTGCTAGCTGTTTCTCCCCATCCTCAAAAAGAACCAGTTCAGTCAACTACGATGATAGTTTCAGTTCTGGTAAATGAATCGTGAAATTTGTTCGAACATCGTCTTTGATTTACTACTGTTTGAGAAGTTATTGTTGTCAGTTTCAAAAAGATGAGGTAAGTTAAACAATTGCATTTTTTGTTGTAAAATTTTATCCCAGAGCAGGTGGACAGAAAATTGATGAAAGCATCTCTGTTTTTTCATACAACGAACTGAAAGCTGCAACTCAGGGATTCAAATCATCCAACCGTGTTGGAGAAGGAGGTTTCGGTGCTGTTTATCAGGTACCACTAATTTCCATAAAATTAATTCAATCTTTTCTTCTTTTTTTTTTCCAATTCCAGCAACTTTGGAAATGGAGTATTAAATTTGACCCTTTTACTCTGTTTTAACAGGGTGTGCTTCAAGATGGAAGCTTGGTGGCTATAAAGAATCTTTCGGTGGAGCAAGAATCATTGAGAGGGGAGAGGGAGTTCTTAACTGAGATTGCAGCTCTATCTGGGATTAAACACGAAAATCTTGTCAGTCTCAGAGGATGTTGTGTTGATGGAGCTAAACGACTCTTGGTCTATGATTACATGGAAAACAATAGCCTTGCCTACACCTTCCTTGGTAACAACAATACTAATATCTTGCTCTTGAAGTGATTAAAATTTCTGCTAATTCAATCCAACTGAATTAATCAACTAATGTGGCTGCTGATAAATTTAACAGGGGAAGACTATAAAAGGGAGAAATTTAGTTGGGAATTAAGGAGACAGATTATAGTTGGTGTGGCTGAGGGACTTGTGTATCTTCATGAACAACTCAAACCTCGTATAGTCCATCGAGATATCAAATCCAGTAACATTCTTCTGGATCATGATTTTAACCCAAAACTCGGTGATTTTGGTTTGGCCAAGCTTTTTCGAGACGAGGCATCGTACATCAGTACTCGAGTAGCTGGCACATTGTAAGTAGCACTATGCAAATTTGAAATAATTATTATTTAATTATTATTTTTATTTTTTTCGTGTAAAAATCGCCGCCTTCTGATGCAACTTTTTTGTTTTTTCTTAAAGAGGATATCTTTCCCCAGAGTACGCCATTAGTGGACATTTGACTCGGAAGGCAGATGTTTACAGCTTCGGAGTTCTATTATTGGAGATTGTTACGGGGGGGCCAGTTGTTGGTTTTGACTTGGAACGTGGTGAATACTTTCTTGTTAATAAGGTAATTATCAAACCATGTATATTTCACATATGCGTCACATCAGTTAATTAAGAAAATCCCTGTTATGTGTAATAGTTGACCTTACCATTTCATAGGTTATTATGATCTTATACATTCATGAATGATTTGTATGATTATTCTGTGGTAGGTTTGGGAGATGTACAATGAGAAACAACTGTTGCAGGCGGTGGATCCAGTCCTAAATGGGAACTTCCCAGAAGAAGAAGCATTGAGGTTTTTGAAAGTTGGATTGCTTTGTGTCCAGGAAACAACCAGGCTCCGGCCCAAGATGGCTGTAGCTTTGAAGATGCTAAGTAATGAGATTGATGTAGAAGACACGGAGGTAACGAAACCTGGGATAGTTTCGGATTTGATGGAGGTTAAGATAGGCAGAAAGCAATCGTCCCAAAGCTTTTTCTCTGGGGATAGTGCCAATAATAGCTCAGGAAGGTAGATTGATCAACAGAGAGAACATTTGTGTAAATTATGGTATAATAGGTTTTATTAGACTTTCAAGTAGATTTTGAGTTGATTAGTCAGCTTGATGCCAACCTTTTTTTTTTTTTTTTTTTTTATGAACTTGCCACGTTGTACAAAATGACATAGTTGATGCGAAATAAATAGCATCACTTTGTCTCGCGGAGAAGTTTTTTTTTTTTTTTTTTGAGCTGTTTGTAAGCTGAATTTCTGATTCTCGATCGAATAAGGGAAGAGTCATTTTTTTTTTGGGTGGTTGAATGAAACAGATGATGCCTACAATCTGTTTAGTTACAAGTTTAAGGTATCTATTTTCTATAAGTTCACAACACAAGATTCCTGCGAAGTAATCAAATTAGATTGAACTCGAACCATTTCTGGAAGGAATTGAAAAAGAAGAGATTGTTGGCATTGACCGTAAAATTAAAAAATATAACATTCTCAAAGATTCTGAAGAGGAAAAATCAACCTTGGATATTGTTGACCAAACGTTTCAGAAGTCAGAACATGGTCTTATTCCGCTCTAGTTAGGGTAAATGTTATTACATTAATCAAATGTATCGGCTGAGAGAGCATGAGATTGTTCATCAACTTGGTTTTACATTCATTCATATGAGCATATCTGAGTTTACATTTGGTTTTGTCAATCTGTATATGAGAGGCCTTGGTGAAAATAATAGTGATACTCTCTTACTGAAAGATGTAACCAATCATTGTGATTGAAGCTCAAATTTACATCATTGGCTGTAAATTTTAATCACAGACATTTAAAAATTCTTCATTAATATAAATCCGCATTCATATTTTACCCCTCGCTATTGTCAACAATGAATTGCATAGATCGACTTTAACGCCACTATTAAGCTGTCAAGGACCTCTGTCTATAATTACAACATGTACCAGTACCTGGATTAGTTTTGTTTATTATCAAACATTAAAAAATTTGTTGGCAGAATATCTGGTGCTGTTAATTGAATATTACTCCCCTGTTCCTTAATAATTGGTCTCATTATTGTATTTGTGGAGCGGTCGATATGGAATAATATACACATTTTACTCATCCCAAAAGAAAATATGAAAGAAATAAGTCACTTGTGTTGTGTCTTGTGGATAAATAGAACCTTATGGTATTTTCATGTGACGGGGATGCAGAAGAATACTCTGCTATTTGATGATAAAAAAAAAACAAAAAATAAAATTGTCAAAAAATGATAGCTCGAAAGGAGAAAAAATTGAAATTCAAATAAAGTGAGCTACAGGGGGACTGAGGGAGCCGCCGGAGAGATCAATTTAATGTGCTGGTAGACTAATGACAACCCCTAATGGGTTTTCATTTAGCATCAACATAATTCATAATTGACTCTTTTTGATTGCAACTTGGCCGGTACTATCCCCCGGCCCCTTGTACTCACTCATCCACACATGTATCACTGTTGATTATTAATTGATTGAATATTCCCAAACGAAATTAGGCGCACACTTCTTATATCATCTAATAACCTAACTACTAAATTCCCATACAGACCTTATTATTGTTATCTAAATATTCTCAAATTCCTATATGTTCATACATAGTTAGAGGCGGTGAAAAACCGAAAATACCTATTTGCATTTCTCATTTCAACTCATTTCCAGTACGTAGCAATGATATCACATTTAGCTTCTCTCTCTCTTTTTTTTTTGTTTTTGGATATAGTAAGGGCAAGAGCAGCACTTTTTTAATTTGGTGGTTGTTATTTCTCCAATTTTTACTGTAATAATGGTTGGACCGATGATTAATACTCCCGCCGGTTCTTAATATAAGACATTTTGATTTGTCATAGGTTTCACCTAGTATGTATTTTCAATTGCCAAAAAAAATTTTAAAAATATTTTCTAACAATCAAAAGAACCCAAGGAATGTGCAAATATATTTTTATAATTATTTTTTCAGATTAAAAATATATACTAAGTGAAATTTAGAATAAATCAAAATATTTATATTAAGGACGGGAGAAAGTAGTAAAGCGAGTTACTCAGTGATGAAGAAACTTTAGAGTAAAATGTAAATTCGTCAGGGGATGCATCATCATTAGAAAGCCGATCTCAATCGCCCATCTTTTAAGTCCAAAGATGATGGATGATTTTTCAAATGACGAACGAATCGGTTGAGAGCCAAACACAAATTAGTAGTACTAAAATGACTTGCTACCCTCGAAAGTAGAATTTGCATATCTTCCATCTTGATGTTAATTCACGGGCTTACGAGGAAGTTTCTACATGGTAACCGTCGAAAATTGGGAATCTCGTTCAGCGAGACTCTCAGATTCCCCAAGAATCCTTGGTTGCACAAAAACTATCTAATAGTAATACTAATATTATGCTTCCTGAGCGTGGAAGACTGGATGAACTAACTACCCGGAGCTTGATTTAGTTGACTCTAAGATGATGTTTCGAAAACGAAAAGCAAAGACGACGAATTCCGCACAATGAACATAGTTCAATCCTTTTTCTTAGTACTGTGGTTTTTCCTAGGTTGCTAGCTCGATTTGATCATATAAAATGTATAATTACACTTGCAAAATGGAAGTTTGGTTTGTTTTAATAATCAGTTAATTGAATACTAGGTTTCCACCTTACTCATATATATATATATATATATATCCTAGGTTTCCCTCAAATTCAATCATACAAGAACCTAAGCCGCCTCTCAGACTTGGTCCTGTTCCTAACTTACTACAGATTCTCTGTTCAACTACCCTGTCTCCCTTCTTTGCACTTGTCCAGAAGACAAAGAAATCCCACATATACTAAACCATCCTGCACCTTTGGCCAGGTTTTATGACCAAAAAAAAATAATAATAAAAAAAAGATCATGGAAATTGAAAAAGAACCTTCTTTTCTCCCAGTTGAATACATCTAAGGTTTTTTTCCACAGGATCGACTCTGTTAGTACAAAAATTGTTAGTCTATTAATTAAGTATTACGTGTTTGAAGTCGGCCTAACAGAGTTCATTACTTCAACATTCCAATGGCATGTTCTTTATTACTACTTATTATAATGGGCTTGAGCATACAATGGACCATGAGACCATCAATGGGTAGAGATTTCCCTAGAAATGCAATAGTTATCTTCTCTGCATTTTTGTCTAAGAGACGAGCATTTCTGCAATAGTTATCTTCTCTGCATTTCTGTTACAATTTTCATGAAGAGAAGAGCAGTGATGCCCTGCAAATTAATGAATTCTTTATGACTAAAACTGACACCTGTTTTACCACTTACCTAACATCAAATGCAAAAGGGAAAAGATAAGCAACTGTAAAGTGTAAATTACCCGTAGTTATTTCCGGATATCACAGTAACAGCAGACCATTAGTTTCCAATGACAGAAAGGAAAAGGAAGGTTTGAAGTGGTTCCTGCTTGAAGTTGAAGTGACAAAACAAGGGGTACATTTGAAAATCCTTTCTTCTTTGAAAACAAGAGGTACTTACAAGAATCTCATACAAAATATACAGTTGCCGAAGACCAATGCTAACCAGAATCTGTCTATGTGTAACGTCTGTATAAAACTTCACTAGATCAAAAAATCGGAGGGAAAAAAAAAGTTCTAAAAATCTAAACTTGTTGCTACAATATCAACCCTTCCTTCACTAGTAGCTCCAACATAAGTGCGAAATCTGAAATAATGGGCCGTCTGCTCGGATCTTCCCTTAAAGCAAGCTCTGCAATATCGGCAAGTTTAAGCAGGGGTTCGACATTTCTGGGCAAAGCTATATAGCGATCGATGATGGCAGCAGCCTTGCCATGTCTAATCAGAGGCAATGCCCAATCAACAATGCTCGGAGGATCACATTCCGTGTCATGAGCTTTCCTTCCACTAAGAATCTCTAATAAAACAATTCCAAAGTTATAAACATCAGCTCTCTTATCTTGATTGAGATCGCTCTCGCTTGGAGCAATAAGAGAAAAATCAGTAATTCTTGCCCCCATGTCAGCATCCAGAAGGATTTTCGAACTCTTAACATCACGGTGCGCTATAGGAGGAACAACTTCGTTGTGCAAGTATTCCAGTCCCTTTGCAGCTTGCATTGCAATCTTTAACCTCAGCGGCCAATTTAAAGGAGCAAGACCCCCATGAAGGTGATCATGGAGAGTCCCATGAGGCATATATTCATAAACTAGAATCCTTTCTCCCATCTCTGCACAATAGCCCAACAAGTTCACAATATTACCATTCCGGACACTACATAGGACCTCCAATTCCATCTCAAACTCCCGGCTATTCGTCTGGATTATGGTGGCAGCATTGGCTCTCTTTACCGCCACTTGCCTCCCATCTGGTAAAACAGCTTTGTAGACAAAACCATTGCTTCCCCTACCAAGTTCATTGAACTCTTTAAAGCCATTAGTCGCATCCTTTAGTTCCGAAAGCCGAAAAACTTGAGCTATTCCAGGACACTGGACTATAGCCGCAGGTGGAATCACATCACTAACAGCTTCAACTTCCGGCTGAGGCTTAGCACCAAAACAACAAGCAAATGTTCCCTTCTTGCCTTCTTTGTTTTTTGTAGGTAAAACACGGGGTAAAAGGTACCAGGCAACTAAAATCAACAAGAAACCAGCAACAGAGGACCCAATTATGATCAGCAATTGATGGAATTGATGCAAATGCTGATGCTTGAATTCAGGGGAAGATTGCATCCCGCAGACATCCCAACAAGAGCTGTTCTGGCAGAGCGTACAAGCGGTACAAACCCGGTCAGCATTCTCAGTGCAAGGACTAGATGGAAAGTATCCTTCACTGCAATTCGACCCGCAGGGAGAGCAAATCTTAAGATCTTTCCTGAGGCACAAGCTGGTCAGATCTGGTTCGCTCAGGAAGCTGGCATTGAACGCAAACTTGCCTTCACCACAGGAACCAGAAGTGCACAAACCCGGGCTGCACAACTGCAGAGGAGGATCATAATCGATTGGAGGAGAGCCGCTGGCAAACCAGCAATCCAGCACTAAATCAGCTTCCCTGATTCCGCAACTCACGTAATCCGAGGAAGCAATGGCAAGGAAACCAGAACCCTTTGGAATCAAGGACGAATTGAAGTTCCCCCAGCACTCAATCCCATGATCGTCTTCTCGGATTCCACAAAAATGTCGGGCCCCAGCAGTCAATGAAACTAACCGGATCCCAGAAGGTGGAGTCACAAAGGATGAATTAAAACCCCAACATTTGGTTCCACCGGAATTTTCCGGGACTGCACAGACGGAATCAAATCCGGCAGCCAGAGAAACAAAGTTGCCCTGTGTAACAGGAACTCCCAATCTCGAGGAATTTGGGCCCCAACACACAATCCCGCCTTGTCTCGCGACTCCACAGCTGAACCCATTACCAGAAACCACCTTTTGGAAAACCAGAGTACTTACATTCTGATCCAGATAACTTGGATTTGAGCTTAAATAATCGTTGGAATGTCGAAAAATATCCCAACAATCAACACTTCCCCAATGACTTTCCGAGTAGTAAGACCCTCTAATAGCACACACGTGAGTGGTGCCAGCCGCAATGTGGAAATAAGAATTCGTTTTATAGCTCGGAGGAACAAGATCACTATTCGATCCCTTAGAATCCCAGCAATAAGCCTGTGAGGTGTTCGCCACAATGCCGCACAGGAACCCAGCTCCGCCGGAGAGGGCCGCCATCGGAGGTAAATCAGCAGGGTAAAGCGATGCGCTGGTAGACACAGAAGTATTGGTCTTATTGCCCCAACAAATGACTTCTTGTCTGCCACTGGCATCAATGGCGCAAAAGACGCCATTTTGGCCGTAAGAAGCCGAAATAGGGCCCATGGAGCCGATCCCAGATGCCAAATCCAGTAAGAAAAGAAGTGAAACCAGAGAGAGGAGAAAGGGAAGAAAGCAAAACTTGGAAAGGGGGAATAGTGAAGGAAACAGTTTGGGAAAGTTTATCATGATTAGAGTAGAAAGTGCTTGGATTTGGATATGGAAAAAGGAGTAATACGTACAATAGTACTCATGGAGTAGTGAGAGGAAGAGGAAAATGGTGGTACTACAGGTAGGCAGTCTTGGTCCGGGTATTGGTGAGATGGCTGAGAATTCATCAAAATAGAACAAGTAGAAGAATTAAGTACAGTAGTAATAGAGTTGGTGATGATGATGATGAGCAGATGATGAGGAAAGAACGTGGGGGTCGCCATTTTTACAGTGCTCTTTTTTTTTGTGACTGTCCATATGCTATCGATTAACTGCGAACTGCGAAAAAGATTTCCATTTTTTTTTTTCCCAAAAATCGGTGATTATGAAAACTGTATATGATGTACTGTACTGATTAAAAATAACAAACAATAGAAATTAACTGCATTTCTCTGCCTCTCTCTCTCTTCTCTTTCCAGGCTATCGATTTCTGAATTTCGAGACATACCGCACATAACGCCAAAAGATCTGCTTTGATGAACATCTTTAATCTGATATACAAAAACAAACTAGGTTCCAGCATGGATCATAATCTTATTTTAGTACTCACTCGTCCTAAAATTATTATCGAGTTTAGATTTTTATTTTTCTATATAAATTGAACTAAATGTGAAAATCGAAAGTGAACCATATTTTTTTGGTTGGAGTCATTACTTACTCCATGATACTGCTTAACGTCAATAACAGTTTCTAGTCTATAACTGAGCTGTACACGACTCTTTTAAATGATGACTCTGAGGAATGCACACAGCTTTGTTGTGTATAACCAACTTCTCCCCACTTCTCAGCAAAAAAAAAAAAAAGCAGCAAACTTACTCCACAAACAAATGTTTAACTTATGTTTACTTAAGAAAAGGCGTGATTAATGATTGATTATAAAAGATGCTTTGAATAGGCGTTACGAAAAAGGTCAATAAGTATTATGAGAGAGGGTTGGAATTTGGATGGATGATGATTTATGCATGGATGGGGGAAAGGGAAGGACCCCAGTTGGTGTACGTACCGACAAACAAAACTGGGTCATCCGATCGTATAATATGCAATTTGGGTTTCCATATCTTCTTCTTATCTGACGATAATCCATGAAAAGTGTAAAACACAGCTGTACCTTTTAGCAATATGCACGATACAGTATCATACCTAGAAGCCCTACAAATCTCCAACAAATAATTCATCCTCTTCTACTTCTAGGGTGAACTAGGTGTTAGACTCGTCCGATAAACGGTGAAGGCATACACATTTAGACATTTTTACATAAATTTTGTATTTTTATAAAATATGTAATGACTTTAGTTTTAAACATGATTACCTCTGGATTTACAGGAATTTGTTTTTTTTAAATGACATTTTAAATTCACTGGTGATAAAGTTTATGCAGATCTCTCTAAAATTTGTTAGGATTTGGTACTCTCTGCAATCAATCTCTATGTTAGGATTTGGTTCATGAAAATAAGGGTTTGGTTTTTATTATTTTGCTTTTTTTTTAATTATTTTAGTTGCTTTTTTTTGTTTTATTATTTTGTTTTGTGCATTTTTAAGTCTAAGAAATTAAAAAAATGTCACATAAGATTAAATTCTATGTGGCATGTGCTCCATGCCTTTAGTTTTCTCTCTCTGGTTTTTGACTTAGTATAGTATATAGATAGATAGATTATAAAATACTACTAGGTACTTATATAGTTTATAATCTATATTCGGGTTGAGAAGGTTAAAAAAAATAAAAAAAGTCTTTCAATAGAATCCTGACTATAGTTATACTGGGTTGTAAAAGTAAATTGGAAGGGAGAAGGAAAAAAAATGCTTTTATAGGAAGGAGGCAGAAAACCGGAGATGGAAGGAATACATAGTGAATCCAGAAGAAATTGGGGTGTAAAACTGGACAACAATGCTGTCGGACAAATTGATTAATTGTTGTGCCCCCTAAAATCAAACTGGGTTTTTCTTAATTTTAATTTTAAATCTACGTTTGGTTTGCCATGCACATGCACATGCAGCCGCGCTGCTTCACTGAATTAGCTTTTTTTTCGCATAATTAAATTAAACACGAAAATAAGAATAATTATTATGGACCAGCAAACGACACTAATTTGATTAATCAATTTGGTGATGCTGTCTGATTTCTGATTAATGATAACCTTGTGTGTACGCAAACTTGAAGCCTCATCAAGGGTTTCATATACAGTGTTCTTATATTACTGAAAACTGTTCCCCAACCTAGGAGCGAGGGACCTAGCTAGCTACCTGGCTAATATGAATGTTAGGGAACATTTCAGGAATCACCTTTGTGACTTACTTCTTCCGTTACATTTGAATTGTTCAAATTGGGACGGAAGGAGCATTGAACTGTATGATTAAACACTCACACTGTTCACCTAATTTGTATGAATACTCCATAGTCCTTTATTTAAGGAAGGAAGGGACAAGGGTAAAAATAAAAAGAACCCGATGTTAATGGTAACAAAATGTGAACTGGGCACTATGGACATATACTTCAAAAAACGCGACTGTTTAGGGACGTACTGGTTCGTACTAATAATTATTAGTTATACACGTACGACTTTTTTTTTTTTTTTTTTGAAGAAAACGTACGACTTACTAAATATTGAAGGGCATGCACAGCATTTGCAGAAAAATCCACATCAAGTTCGAAAAGTACTACGGAATGCCGGATCCAGTAAGGCTGTATATAAAAAGTACATTAGTAATTAACAATTTTACAAATCAATGCGGTCTCGAAAAAATTACCAATAAATTGAAATTTGTGGCTTTTAACCCTTCACCGAACGAATGAATTTTTACTCAAAAAAAAAAAAACCGAATGAATTACTTATTGTTATCAGTTGTGAACATCACATATCATATATGCACGATGCAACAAGAAAAAAGAAGGTTGTTCTTGAGCCAATGTTAATGTATGTACCCAGTACAACTTGTTAATTGTAAATATTTCTTCCGTCCCGAAATTATTGTTCAGTTTTGAGTTTTATTTTTAGTACAAATTGAACGGAAATTGAAAATTTAAATTAGATAATAATTTTGAAATAGAAAAAATTACAAATAGTAGAAGTTGTTAGTCTCCTTACTGTGTTGGTCCTCCTCAAGTTCTCATTCTCACTTTGTACATCAATTTAAAAAAGGGGAAAAAATAGGAAAGATTTATTTACATTATACTACTCCGTATAGGTTGGCTTGTATGGAAGTTTGAATGACCGTTGGTCAACCCATGCCGAGATGCCATCCCGTCATCTTAATATCATCATCAGAAAACAATGTGTCTATATATGGCAAGAAGAAGGAGTTGTAATTTTCAGGGTTGATAATGATAATAGCCCTATGAGAGGCTATGACTAAGGAGGCGTAGGAGGGTCCTTCTCTTTTTGATCCATTTGCTGCCCTTTTTTGTTCTGATTTTTTTTTTTCACTTTTTGGTATTTGGTCGTTTGCTTGTTGGGACGCATGTGCTTTATAGTGTACATGGTTTTTAAGGTCCGAAATTGGGATGTGGGGACTTTTGAATATATATAGCAAAATCTTACGTACATTAACGGCCCGATCATGGATCAGATTATTCAATGCATCATGTGCATGTTTTTTTTTTTTTTTTCTAGAAGTAAATTTTGAACCTGGCTCCTTCTTGTATTAAGTCAGACAGTCTCTGCTGGTTATGATGATGTTTCTTCCCTGAACTGAAATGACCTTTCTTTTCTCTTCCCTTTAACCAATTTATGACCATACGACAACAAGAGATGCTTGTTCAAGGTTCAAAAATGGCATACATGGCAACTAACAAGGATAAAATTATTTCAAATATAATAAGATGGAGCTAGCAGCAGCTCTTTTTGGAATGCCGGTAATCTCACTCACTCACTCATTAGACTGTAGACACCTTAATGAGTCTGAAAATTTAACATTGTCCATACGTATGACGGAGTTTGAAACCTCCAACCCGAGTAAGGATACTTGAGCTAACAGCAACGACAATACGTATCATTTTTTTTTTAATATCAGTAACAATGTCTAATTCACTTGTTAATTATAAATTGTAAGTAACTTGAGGAGGGTGAGTGAGTTGCCACTTAAAATCACAATCGTTTTTTGGTTGGGAGCTAGAAGCAATCTTTGACTCCGTTGAAAATGGAAAACATTACCAACCAAAAAAATGTAAATTTTCATAGTGATTAATATTAGTATTGTTATGAGTGGATCTAAATTTAGATACATTAGCAAATTGTCAGCGCATGTGTCCCACTTGCTGTCGACTTAACTCATCCCTGCATGTGATCTGTCCATCCTTCTTCTTCTTCTTCTTCTTTTGTAGCGGTCATTTTTATATCATTATTTTTAAAAAATAAAAAATAAAAATTCTGTTTTCCATTTTAATTTTTTTATTCTGTTCCCATTTGGCATTACCAGAAGCTTCGATGCATGGAGTTCCATCACGTAAGGGGAAAATTCAAATTAGAAAACAAATTGATAAATCAATGATCAATCCGATCGTGAAGATCAGTCCCTTAGTTCTTCCTCTGCGTGTATCGAGAACCTATGGGTTGATAAGAGGACAATGTTACCAAACCCCCCTCCTTAATTAATTATTTGTTTTCTGGAACTACATATTTCTTAAAATAATATCGGATCTACAGACTGAACAATCAACATATGCATCTGTTTCATCGGTCTGTGTTTCTGTGTTTTATTTTTCCTTTTTCTTTTTGCATATATATATATATATATTTTTTTTCTTTTGACCAAACAAAAGAAGGAAAACATTACCAAAAATAAATTCCACATCTGTCAATGAGCGTAGAGAATCCAAGAAAAACCAACAGGTTGTTTGGGTGGCTGAATGTTCGTTCCATCTCATTGACTTCTCCTTATCGTGCATGATAAAGTCAATGACATTTTACACTCTTTAATAATAATCCAGTAGTAAGAATATTTTATTACTCTTCCTTGATGAGGGAAAAACAAAATTTGTCCTTCAGATCCATTCGAGTAAATTAATTACGTGTTCTTCATACTTCAAATAAGATCCGTACCCTCTTGCATGGTTAGTGCTTCTTATAAGTACGTACGTTGTTCCTCACGAAACAAACCATTAATCTGCAATTAACGAAGAAATATGGATCCAGTCTCTCAACCAAACGTTGAGCTAACGAGCAAAATTATTTTTAGTTTCAGTATCGAGCTAGATATTCATTAAATCGAATGAGGCACAAATTTCTTACAAAATTTGTATTTCCCTTCCCTCCTCCTATGCCAAGATTCGATCTCTCTTGACGTCAAAGATACCATCCAGCTCTGCCATATTTTCCGAGAAGCGCTTCTCTCGGCTGATTGCTTAGTATCAATGAAAATGTCTAGTTCACGAAATTCCAGTAGATTGTTATTTCCCGTAATTACAACACGATACTATCGGTGTTTTGTATCCACGGAATGTTATTATTCAGGCATCAGGCTTCTTTTATTTTTTTTTTTAAATAAAACTTTAAAGTCTATACTCTTATTAACATACATGATAAATAAGACACATTCTTGACATATCCATCCCTATATTATATTTTAATTACATCTTCAGTTTTGCATATGATTTTCTCATATGTAGCAGTAGCACCCAAAACTCCAAAAGTACTCCAAAAAGGCTTCTTCTTTTGCTGGAAATTCAATGGAAAGAAAAACAGAAAAAAAAAAAAAAAAAGTGAGGACGCAATTGATCACCCAAACAATGGGAAAAAGAGTATAATTGAAATGCCAGCAAAAAAGAAGCATTTTTCTCCCTTAATTAAAAAATTAATTAAAGAAAAGAGCACACGATAAAGCGAGTGAATTAAGGAAGCGGACAAAGGAACAAGATATCTTATGGAGATTGGTGATATTAAAGAGTTTGTCCTGTCCTCTATACAAAGTTTGTTATACAATAATTGAATTCTGATTGCCAAACATAAGCCAGGCATTCACACTTAAAAGACAGCCCTAACACATTGTCATCCCATTCGATTACTTTACAAATGGATTGTGGGATCTTAGCCTAACAACAACATTAATTGAAGTTATGAATTAACTCTGCTGTTTTGGCCACAAAAGAACACCCCACCAATATTTGCGTTTATAGCGCATAAAATCTGGTAGTTAACTTTCTGCCCGGTTTCTGTCGCGGTCTTCCGTACCTTTTATCGCCCGATGAACCAATCAGCATCACATTCACATGATATAGAATTGTAAGGACTAAGGATTAGAGAAAACACTGAAACTCTACATCCAATAGATGTCGTTTCCTCAATCTTACACTAGCATATTGGATGTTAAATATGTTTGACTCCTTACAAGTTCAAAGCGAGCCAGCAAGATCCATCATTTTATGCAGCAACACCAGCTCCTACCCCTTTTTTGTGCCTAACTGTTTTGTTAGGTAGTGCTCTAATCTTAACACTCTTGCACTCTTTGCTGCTAAGTTAATTAGCAGACTCTGCTATTCTAGGATGAAAGTTTTTCTTGTCAATTACTCATTTGTCCCCGGAAAGAAGGTTTCATACATTAGAAACAGTCAATACCTGGCAAAATCTCATAAGTCACAACAAAGTGTAGTAGGGTGCAAACAAACTTGTGTATCTGCCACAGATATAACAGAACCAAGAGCAGAGGCTCAAATTCTGCTAGCATCAGAAGATTAGTCTATCAAAAGTATCATTGTAAAGCCATAATGTACTGTATCAGTGTTAAAATCAGATTAGAAGCTTAAACTCTGACGGTCACTACACATTGAAGAAGCCTTGAAGCAACATCATCATGCACTTTCACAGCCACCGATTTCAGGTTATAGATCTTTGTCTCAGCATCTTGTTCCAGGCGTTCAAAGTTGGCCGCTGAATCTTCAGAACTCTAAATCAACAAGCATTAGGTAATAATGATCAGAAAACTAAATAATTAAGAAAGCGCAAACCAGCCAAGGTTGTATCAAGTTCCAAAGCCTTTCACACAATCATTCTCACAGAGAGTTTAACAAACTGAATTTACCCTCCCAAAATTTAAGATTTTATCAGAGAGCAATGAAGCAAATTTCAAGCAGAAATCAAAAACTAATATTTACCATTGTAACAAGCTTCAGAAACTCAAGCTCCATTTCAGCCCGAAAACCAGCTACCTCGATTTCAGCCTCCTGCCTGGCTTGTAGAAGTTTAGCTGCTCTTCCTAAAAGCCAGGAGATAAAAGTTTAATGCCATGTAACAGTAGAATCTAACTACTAGTAAATCGTAGTGCAGGATCAAGAGTTAGTTCCCAAACCTACCATTGATAATTCAGAAAACTAAATGAACTAGTAACTTTCTGCTTCATGTTATGGTTAGATTATAATTGACATGATGCATGCAAATTACCCACACAAATCATATTGCAAATTCTGCAAGAAATACTGATAGGAAATACAGTTCCTCTAACAAATAGACCATTCATAACCTTAGGAGACCACATACCATCCGTTCAAATTCATTAGCAGCTAATTTTTCGTAAAACAGCGCTAAGAGCTTTGCAAGCAAACAACTCTAAGAAACAAGAATAAAATATCCGGGGATAAGCCTACCGGATTTGGCAGCGTTTACGATTTGTCTGGCTTCATCTTCTACAGCCAAAAGTGCACGGACGGCAATTTGGCGCATCTCTTCTGCAACACTGTGAAGATGACAGATAAATTGAAAGAATGTTTTGAAGAAAAATTCTAACTAAATTTTAAGAGTCAAAAGTAGCACCTAAATGCAAATATCCCAGATAGCAATATCCTACAAAAAAGTAATCCTAATTCTAAGTCACCAAGGAACACATTTGACATATATGTGAGAGCATTCTGTGTACTCCACTTGAAAAGCACCGCTAATGCCAGAGTCTTAGATGGTATAATATGGAAAGTTTGAACTGATAAGAAAACCCAATTATGAATTGAAAGCCTATACATGGTACAAAAATGAATTTCAGGAAGAATTTATCAAAAGGGCTTCTCATGCGAGCAGTACTGTACCGTATTAGGAAAATTCTGTAGACACTCAGTTCAAGACTCCTTAACGAATACCATATTCAAGATTCACGAGCTTTTGCAAAATCGCAAAGAGCAACTGACATAACAATGAACATTTGAGATAATAGTATAATCTAAGTAAAGGAGAAGGGCGATTCAACCTAAAAAACAACCAAAGAACCACAGTAAAAAGGTGCTTAATTAGGTACTAAAACTAAAACGAAGCCAAAACAAAGAATTTTGAATTGGGGGCAGGGATTGAACGACATTAGAGAGTTGGGGTGATTTATTTACCGGCTGAGTGGGGATCGTTGTTGATGATGGTTAACATCCATGACAGATTTGACGATGACGAGTTGCAACTGACTTTGATTCGATTTTTTAACGACGGCGACTCAGCATTAGGATGATCAGAATGAGCAGAAGGGTTTCCGTCAAAATCAAAACCCGCTGGTAATTTTTGGCTTTTCGTTGTTCCACCGTTTTTCTAATTTGATGATATCGAATTTGTACTGCTTTTTTTTTTTTTACTCTTTGAGTCCGCCAATATTTCCCAGCAGAAGAAAGTTTTGCTTGCAGAAGGCGGCAAATAGGCAAAAAAGGCTTGTTTTCGTGCGAATCGTGCGGGGCATGGCAGTGCATCTTCTTGCTTGTTATTTGGGCTCGCACTCTTTTTTTGGCCCAAATATCGGATCAAGTAATTAAGGCTAAACTCTTTATGTTATTGGGCTGTAAAATAAATCATATTCTCCTGAGTAAAGCCCCAGTCAACACATTTTTACTCTATGTTGTTTTATTTTTGTACATGAAGGAAGCTGACCACATTAGCCTCCTACAGAACCAAATTATTGTGATTCCAATTATTTGCCTCTTCATTGTCCACAATTTTTTTTTCCTTCAAATTCACATTTTGGATAGTAATTCTGACTATGCCATATTTCATCCACGCCTGACTCCTAGAGTCTATACAAATGTCAATCACAAAAGCGGTACTAGACGTCATTATTTTCCAATCGCTTAAAAAGTGAGTTTTAATATATTATTTCCGTCCCAAAAAAATAGTACATATTGAGTTTTTTTAAAATTTATACTAAAAATAGTACAAAACTCAAAACTCAATGTGATCTATTTTTTTGGAGGAGGGAGTACTTCTTTACTTTAACAAAACAGTATTCTGAGTCACCCATACTTTAATTACGTACTACATAAGAAATAAAATTTATAAGCTAAGAAATGGGAATGATTGAAACAAGAAGAAAAACACATCCGATTACTCGGATAAACATATTTTGGTGATTGAAAATCATGAGCCTTGCTTTGGATGGGATCATTTCAAGCGTATTGAAGGAGGGGGGGATGAAGCGTAACTTAAACTGGACCAACATGGAGGTCAATTTTTAATTATTTTCATACGGTTTTTTCTCATGCTCTTTTTCCTTTCAAGGTTTTGTGATGGAATTTGTAGCCAATAGTTAGGACGGTTGGAAGTAACTAATAACTATATAAAATTTCTATGTTATGAAATACTAGAAACTTACAAACTATTTATATATTAATAACTATTTATATATTAAATTTCTATTTTTTACCTGCTTTTGGGTCCATGGACAATTTAGATCAATTTATATATTTTTTTAAAACTGTTCATATTTTAATTAATTTTTTTTTATAATTCTTCTTCTTTTACTTTCTAATTTGTATATGTTAGTACTAGTATCATTATTAATTTTCCAAAATTAATTTGTAATTTGTATCTTAACTTCTAGATTATAAAAAAAGAAATAATAAAAAAAATATAAAATTCAAATTGAAGTTAACGTGAAAATTAATAATTAAATAATTCAATCGAGTTTAAAAAAATTAAATAACCTAGAAGAAACAGCTTGTCTTAGCTAATTCTTTTAGTTTTTCTTTTAGTATAAAATGGTAAACTATTAATTTTCATGTTTACTTTAACTCGAATTTTTCTTCTTTATTTCTTAAATTTTTTAAAAAATTTATAATTTAGAAGATAAAATACAAAAGTTCAATTAATTTTTAAAATTTAGAAATTATACTACCAGTATATACAAGTTAGGAAGTAGGGTTGTCAAATCGGGCGGGTTCGGTCGGTTCGGATGAATTCGGGTTGGGTTAATCAGATTTTTCCTTTAAATAAACCCGCCCGAAACCGAACCGAAAAATATGTAACTTCGAACCGAACCGACCGATCAATTTTTGGGTAAACCGATTCGGGTGTCATTCACCCGCAAAGACTTCGTAAAATAATTTGGGAACTTTTTCTCCCAAAAAAATACAGAGCAGAACAATTTGGGTACTTTTTTCCCAAAATATACAGAACAGAAATTTTAGGAAGATGAAATGCTCTCACAATAATACAGATCTGAATACATTTCATAAAATGAAGATTGACGAATACATGTTCTTTCCAAAAAAGAAAACCAAATAAATCAGTGCAAAGAAACTTTTCATCCCATTGAGACTCTTGATTCGGGGAGACAATATATCTTCCAGATCTACAAATAAGATTCAATTTTAATTTGAGAATAAAAAAAAAGAAAACAAAATAGAAAAACTCTTACCAATTAGTCGTCACTGGTAGTTTGAAGTTGGTGTTGAAATCTAATTTGGGATTGCGTTCATGATGAAACCACAACAAAAAAGACTTGGAACCTTGGAGGAGAATTGAGCAGGACATATGTTTTGGAATTGAAGATTGGAAAAATAGAGGACGTCAAATCATTCAGGAAACAAGATCAGAGGGAAAAAAAATGGAAAAAAAAAAGAGGGAGGAGCCCCTTTGGGCGGCGACGGGCAGCGGCTTAGGGGTGGCTTGGAGGACTTGGACGAGAGAATTGAGGAGGTGTTTTTTTTGCTTTGACTGGGCAACGACAAAAATAAACCCCAGGAACAAAAATAAATCCCAGTACTACATATTATTATATATATATATATAAATGTCAGAGTTCGGGTTTTCGGGTGAGTCCCGAATGATTTTTGTCCCACCCGCACCCGAACCGAGTAATACCGCGGTTAATCGAGTGAACCCGCATAATCCAAATTCACCCAATTAACCGAACCGTTTGACCCGAAACTGGTTCGATTCGGGCGGGTGTTCGGGTTCACCCGACTAGCTAACACCCCTATTAGGAAGTATAAGAAGAAGAATTGTAAAAAAAAAAGATTAAAAGTTTAAAAAAAATAAAATGGCAAAAATACCGCTGAATCTGAAACATGTGAAAAATGGATTTCCGTCACTATCTAACGTCCAAAATTAACAAAATAATCTCGGATGAATTTTTTACTTAGTAGGGTGATCTGTTATACAAATAAATTTGATTGATGACCTATATTAGAATTAGCTAATAGTTCAATGACCCATTTTGAGGTTCACTCTTGAAAAAAATGCTCCATTTGTTCTAAAATAAGACTCCAATTCGTTGCACGAACATGGTTCAATAATATATTTATGACTTTTATTTTGAGAGGACAAAAGGGGTAAATTTTTGTGTGTGTGTGTTTTAAATATTTGTTTGTATAGCTCATAAACTGTTAGTGATAACACTTTCATCAATCAATTGTTGTCATTTTCTTGTCAAACCATATCATATTTAAGATGAGATCAAATGTCTCATTCTCTCCGAGAAAAAAATAAATCACGAAATTAAACTCAATTTTTTTCTTCAAATGGAATTGCTTCGTTACTCCTCTCCGATGGTAGTGACACATTCGAGGTTTGTCATTCCTCATACCATCAAAGAGACGTTTGTGTCTAATGTGGCACCCAACGATGATTTGGCTGAACTGTTTGAACGTACGAAGTTAATCATTTGGGATGAAGTCCCTATGACCCACAGACACTGTTTCAAGGCATTGGACTGGTCGTTGCAGGACATCATGCGTCGAAGACACCCACGGACATGTCATAAACCCTTTGGTGGAATTATAACGATATTGGGAGGTGATTTTTGACAGATATTGCCGGTAGTCCCCAGAGGAAGCAGGTGTAAGATTGTTGATGCTGCAATAAACGTGTTAGTACTGTGGGATAAAAGTAAAGTCCTAAAGTTTACTAAGAACATGAGACTCACCCAGTGTGCTCATCCTGAATCGTCAGATGAAATAAAAAAAAAGTTTTTTAATTGGTTACTCCTCATCGGTGAAGGAACTGCTAGCGCTCCTAATGACGGGAAAGTTGACATCGATATCCCGGAAGACCTCCTCATCAAACCAACAGGTAGACCTATACCTTCTGTTTGTGATGCTATTTCCCCAAACATACTATCTATTCTGAAGGTCCCGAACTTCTTTGATGAAAGGGTTTAGCCCCGACCAATAACGATGTTGATGCTATCAATGAATATATGTTGTCACTGCTTACTGGAGAAGCGAAAATATACTACAGTTCAGATAGAATCGAAGAAACCTCGAAGTAATTGTATCCCGATGATGATGCCATTTACACTCTTGACTTCCTCAATTCAATAAGATGTTATGGGATGCCCAACCATAAGATAACGCTTAAATCGGTGTACTGATCATGCTTCTTCAAAATCTAGATCAGCCAGGAGGACTGTGCAATGGTACCAGACTACAAGTTAATAAGTTAGGAGAACGTGTCATTCGTACTATGATTATATCCGGAGCAAAATATTGGTAGGAAATGTTTCATTCCACCTATGGATATTAGTCCCTCTGACGAAAGAATGCCAGTTAAGCTCAACCGCAAGCAGTTTCCAGTGGTCGTTTGTTTTGCTATGACGATAAACATGAGTCAGGGGCAATCGCTCTTAAATATGGGTTTGCGTTGTCCAGTCTTCACACACGGCCAGTTCTATGTTACCTTTTCCATGCTATGACGATAAACAAGAGTCTGTTTTGTGTCGTCCAGTCTTCACACACGGTCAGCTTTATGTTGCCTTTTCCATAGTAAAGTCCAGAAAGGGTCTCAAAGTTCTGATTTGCAACAAAGAAAAAGAATTTGGCAGCAGCACAACGAACGTTATCTACAAGAAAGTACTTCAGAATATATGAACTTTGTTTTTTCCCCCTTCAAACAATACCCGAATATTTGTATTATATTTGGAAAAGCTATTTCTACGAATATTTTACATTTTGGTTTTGATAGTGTTTCAAATTTTTCATATATGGTTTAACTTCAATAATTCACATTTCATATAGAATTAATTTGACCCATTTTTTATACATAAATTTTTACTTTTCAAGTTTACTTGGATAATATCTAAAAATCACCGTGAGTGCACGGGTATTGCACTAGTTAACCATGAAAACAAACTCTAGTGACAGTTACCGAATATTTCACCAAGTCTTTCATGAAAATTTATTTTTAAAATTTTAATAATTGTTAAATTTGTTTTGTGGTGGATAAAGAATAGATTATTCAAACTTAAACCAGAAGATAATAACTAAAAGTCTAAAATTAGGAAATCGGATTTCCTCAACATAGAAAAAGAAAGATAATATAGATTAAGATAATAACGACAATAAGTCATATATATATATAAAGCTATCTTCTCACTCTCTTTGTGAATTTGTGTAATCCACATCCTCCTTGGGTCTGCATGACAACAAGGACCATGG